GGAAATTTTCTCTGCCGGTGGGGAATTCGAGTTCGCCCCAGGTTGGGGCTGCGGGAAGTATACGGCCCGTGAACAGGAGACTGATTAATTTTGCCGCATATCCATACTTGAAAGACATGATGTGTAAAATTTGCTATGCCAAGGCCAGGACAATGTAATATAAAAAAGGGATTGACCCCTGCAGGGCTGAGGTATCCAAATCCAAAGAGTCAACATTCAAATCGATCCACTCCTACTAGTAGATCCGGTACACACTACTACTAGTATCGAAATGGAGACACCTCGTTCAGACCACACGCATACCAATGCGACAAGTCGAACTGCCTCGATCGGCTCTGGCCCCGGCCAGGTCGACTATATCGACCTTCCCATCCGCGAACTGAATGATGGCGCCGACCTCCGCGAATACACAACCGAGACACGAACGGGAGAGATCATCAAACCTATCAAGTCGAATGCCACCGGTAAAATGGAGGATTGGAAGCTGGTAACATTCACCATAGACGATCCTGAGAATCCCAAGAATTGGTCGAAGGCATACAAGTGGTATTGCACCATGGTTGTTGCCTTTACTTGTTTCGTCGTCGCATTTGCCAGCAGTGTCATCACAGCTGATTTGGAGGGCCCAATGGAAGATTTCGGAGTCTCCCGTGAAGTCAGTCTTGTTGTTGTGACTGTCTTCGTTGTTGGTTTTGGTGTCGGTGAGTTGCCATAATTTTATGCCAGTATTTGTTCATTGCTGACAACGATTCAGGCCCCATGGCCTTCGCCCCAATGTCTGAAATGTTCGGAAGGCGCCCAGTATATGTTCTCACGCTTCTCATCGCTGTTATTTTTATCATTCCATGTGCTGTGTCGAAAAACATTGGAACTCTGATCGTTTGTCGACTGATCGATGGAATTGCCTTCAGCGCCCCGATGACGCTAGTCGGTGGTACTTTGGCCGATCTATGGAGAAGCGAGGAACGAGGAGTTCCCATGGCAGCATTCAGTGCTGCTCCTTTTATTGGCCCTGCAATCGGTCCCCTCGCCGGCGGTTTCCTTGGTGACAACTGCGGCTGGAGGTGGCTGTACTGGCTTCAACTAATTCTGTCTTTCGTTGCTTGGGTTCTCATTACTTTCACTGTCCCCGAGACTTATGCTCCTATTCTTCTCCAAAAGCGAGCCAAGAAGTTGCGAGCGGAGGAGAATGACCCCAAGTATACCACCGAGGCTGAGCTCGACCCTCGCCCCATGGGACAGAAGCTGCGCATCTTCCTTTTCCGACCTTTCCAGCTCCTTTTCCTCGAGCCAATTGTCTTCTTTATTGCCCTCTACATGTCTGTTTTGTATGGCTTGCTTTACATGTTCTTCGTTGCGTAAGTCTGTCTTTCTCTGTGATCTGACAAGTAGCTAACAAAAGCCGCAGATACCCGATTGTTTATCAATCAGGCAAGGGCTGGAGCGCTTCCATCACAGGCCTTATGTTCATTCCTTTGGCTATCGGTGTGCTTATGAGTGCTGCATGTGCGCCATTTGTGAACAAGAACTATCTCAAGATCAGCCAGAGATACGATGGAAAGCCCCCTGCTGAAATGCGTCTCATCCCAATGATGTGGTCATGCTGGCTCATTCCTGTTGGCCTTTTCATCTTTGCTTGGACCTCATACCCTCAAATTCATTGGTTCGGACCCGCCATTGGAGGATGGCCAGTTGGCTTCGGTTTCATTTTCCTTTATAACTCTGCCAACAACTACCTGGGTATGTCTTGAAATCCTTTTAAAAATTTCCTTGAGCAAGGGCTAATATCAATTAGTCGACACATACCAGCACCAAGCCGCATCGGCCTTGGCTGCGAAGACATTTTTGCGATCCATGTGGGGTGCCTCCACCGTCCTTTTTACCGAGCAGATGTACAATCGCCTGGGATACCAATGGGCGAGCTCTCTTCTCGCATTCATTGCGTTGGCTTGTTGCGCAATTCCATATGTCTTCTTTTATAAAGGAGAGGCCATTCGGCGCTTCTCGAAGTATGCATTTGCCGATGATGAGGAGCAAGCTGTCAAGGCTTGAGCACGCAATGCCTTCCCGAAGGCATGTGTCGCTGTCATTTTGGCCAGTCCAAAATTTACCAAACTTTCGGTGCTAATTAATCAGAACGAGTACGTGAATATTATGATAAAAGGAATATAGCAGAACTATTAGTATGCATTGGTTAATAAAATTAATACAAAATGGTACATCCGATTTTCTACTTTTGTGCGAGATTTTATACGCAGAATATAGTAATTAGATAACCTCCTCTTGAAGGAGCAGAAATTTCTTCCCGAAAAGTTCCTTGTATATTTAGCCAACAGTCTTTAAGCTGACGAATAAAACATTTAGAATCTGGCTTTAAGAAGTAATCTGAAATACTGAATCAATCAATTTCAATTCGAATTTGCGGGATTAAATAATTATTTTTGGGTTTTATCTTCAAGTTACTACCGTATGTTGGAGTTGAGAGGCAACCAAACTGGAAGATGTATAGAGACCAAGTGAATCGAGGGAAACAGCTTCCAGGTCTCTTACAATCGTGGTTTTCTTATTGGCCATCTGGTTATCGAGTAGTACCGTTCACGTGAACGGTGTGTTTGCCAATTAAGGCATATCTATCCCGGCTGACGGTCGGGTTCCTTGCGGGGATGTTTTTACTTCGTATCTCGAAAATTATACTTCCGATTCGTTTTTTTCTTCTTGGCCAGAACCGAGGAACTCTCACCGTATAGGTATGCGACGAATTCTTGATTCGAAGACCAAGAATCTTGATATATTTGTTTGGATCTTGCGTGAAAGCTTTGAAAGAGACCTGATAGAGGCACGGTTGGTTATTCCCTTTCTATGAGACCTCCAGTGTGGAATGGATGCTTATCAGGTTGAGATTGAAATGACACATTCTGTGTCCCGTGCCGTTTTTAGCACGGCGGACGAGACCGAATTGCGCGATATCACCTGTGTACATCTGATTTACAGTCAATGCGACAAATTTCGGTTGGCACAAATGTACCTAATCATACTTTCTCGTACGAGTTCGGGTTCAGACTCGGGTCCTGTGATCGGGGTCGGCTGTGTCGCCGCCTCTTCCTCTAATTTAAATAAGTATCGACAAGATTTCCAAGTTTGCTTCAAAAAGATACCATATCCAGGTTCACCCAAGCTACACCTTATGTTTCCGGCTCTTTTTGCACCTTCTCTTTAAATAATAATGACCTCCACACTGAAAGGATTATTGGGACTCAACACCTCCAAGAATCCATGTTCCATCGCCTCTGAAAGGTCCCCACGAAGAGCGCTCCCAGCCAACTGGTACACGTCGCAGGCTCTTTATGAACTTGAGAGGCGATCTATCTTTGCCAGAAATTGGCTACTCACCACGCATTCCCTGCGCCTGCCTAAACTTGGCGCCTGGCTACGCTACGAGACTGCAGGATGGTATTTTGTCCTTTTTCGAGACAACAACAATGTCATAAAAGCATTTCACGATGTCTCGGCCCACGAGACCGAGGAACAGATTGACCAACCTAAAGACTTCCTCGGCCAGGGGTATGCAAATTCGAGCCCAATCCACATTCATATTGATCGTAATGGCTTTATATGGGTTAACTTAGATTCCAACGAGGAGCCTGAGATTGAATGGGAAAGAGACTTTAAAGATATTGACCTCCAGCCTCGCTTCAGCGACTTTGACTGGAATAATTACGCATTTGACCATACATGGGAGATGGATGGCGCATATAACTGGAAGGTATTAGCCGATAATTATAATGAATGCTATCATTGCGCCACGGCCCATCCGGATGTGCAGTCCGTCGCGGATCTGAATTCATATTCGGTCGACACCGTCGATGGAAGCATTATTCATCTTCCAGCATCAACGCCAGAACAGATCAAAGCGGGCTTGAAGGTCTGTAGCACATATTACTTTCCAAATGCCTCAATGACCGTGACGTGAGTGTATCCTAATATTTACCAAAAACGACCTCATAGAAAACCATTTTTGACTCCCAGCTAGGCCTCACTTCTTTTTCATGCAGCGATTCATTCCGACTTCACCAAAGACCTGTCAGATGCGCTATGAAGTCTTTCGGAATAAGCACTCTTCCGACGCAGATTTTATTTTGGTCAGCGACATGTTCAAGCGAATTATGAATGAAGACAAGCATCTCTGCATCGAGGCACAGAAGAATCTGAGCTCGGGTATCTTTGTGAACGGGTTACTTCATCCAGAGATGGAAAAGGGACCGCTATACTTCCAGTCTGTGGTTCGGGATATTGTCAAAGAGCATCACAGACGTGAGAAGGAGGCTCGACACGAAATTTGGGCTGTTAAATGAAGAGGTGCCTGCATACTAACTAACTACAAGTTTCATATTGGCGATGCCAGTTAGTTACTATTACTAGTTACTAGTAGTAGTGGACCCTAGCACTTATTAGCTTAGAAAACGCATATGGTTAGGGCACCTTGATATGGTGAGACGACTCGGATGTAATGTAAATTGAAAGTAAATTAATTGAATATTTCAAGTTCTAGTGAATCTTTCCATTGTTTATAATCGTAATGGTATCGACAATTTCTATAGTTCATAGTGGTTAGTATGGTGAATGTCGCTGACGTATGCTGTCCGCATTGGGCCGCCCCACATCACGTGCCATTCCCATCACGATGAAGCTCTCTCGGCACCTCCAACTCGTCTTCAATTTGATACAATTGTCTCTGCGTCACCATGATATCTCCCACGGAGTGATGGAATAGCCTCGCCCAAATCGCCAATTTTCTCCGGATATAGACGAACGCCTTTGAAACCATTCATTCTCCCGTGTCGCCTTTGAACCTCTGTGCGCTTCCGTCCGGTCGCATTGAAGCCCAAATAGCCGACGCATGATAATCTCGATATAATCACCCTTTGATGCCATCAGAATCCATCGAGAACCCGGGAAATGACTTCACCATACGTTCCGAACCCCTCTATTTCCCCTCCGACATGGCTGCGGCACAGAATCGGTCTGTATCCGATTTGCCGCAGGATCAAGTAGATGCCATTATTCGCACCAAGCGCAAAGCGCGCGAACCAAAAGCCTGCTACCCGTGTCATGCGCGCAAAGTGAAATGCGACCGAAACCTACCTTGCGACGGGTGTATCAAACGGGACCATACGGAAATTTGCTCATACGAACGGCCTTCCAAGAAACGCTCGCAGGCTTTCCACGAGAGCCCCGTCGAAGGCGCGTCGGCAATTCCGACTTCTGATCACGCCGGACTATACAGTTATGAAGATGTTCCGCCCCATATCAAACACGAATCTTCGCAGTATCGAGCGAATGGCGGCAACGTAGGTGGCCGAGTATCTATTGCTCGAGAAGAGTGGGATAATGTACGCAATCGACTGCGGGAGATGGAATCCACAATTTCTTCGTTACGAGTGGGGCTCGAGCGTGCCGAGGATGGCCCTGCTACTGGCATTGATAGTGGGAGTGTGGAGAGTGTCGATGCGAGTTCCCGCTCTAAGGGCGCCTCCCCGGATCGCGAAGGTATTCATGCTGCAAACACATTGGGGCAAGGAACTGTCCACCTGGGCTCTCGGTCGGTGTTGGCCTATATTCTAAATAACAAATCGGGACCCGATCAGCTTCAAGCTCTTTTAGAGGGAGGGATCTTGCCCAAGCTTGGCCTGGATAATGAATCCGCAACTTATCCATTTGTGGATTTGTGGTCTTCAGATATGTCGACTTTTGATATCAGTGCGGTTTGTAGCGCACTTCCAACCGATCAACAATGCAGAGAGTGAGTGAAAGCCTACCAGATACCAACATTTACTTGCTGAATTTATTTTTTAACTGGAACAGATTCTTCTTCTACTACAAAGATATTGCGGGAGCCATATATCCCGTCCTTGAAGATATTGCCGAATTTGAAAGCAACCTCGAGCTCTTGCTGCAAAGTAGAATTGCATCTGGGGGTGTTTATCGCGAAGACGCAAACGAGGCCCAAAGCCCATTTGGTGTTAGCATTGCCTATCTCGGGCTCTTATTTGCTGTTCTGGCCTCTGGCTGCCAATCGTCGGATCTCGGAAGCAAAGAACGAGAATTGACGTCGCAAGTTTACGGTATGACGACTATAATGACCTCTCTAGATGGATGTTGACTAAAGTGAACCTAGTTTGTTGTTCTTACCAATGTCTGCGAATGACCAACTTCTTATCACAGCCAACGATCGAAGCCATTCAGACCTTGCTGGTCATTGGAAATGTTCTGTCCTATAACATGAACCCTGGAATCTCATATGTACTTCTGGGCATGACGCTTCGAATGGGGTTGGCACTAGGGTTACACGTCGAATCAAGCCGTTTTTCAGCAGATGAGCGATACCGACGGCGGCATGTTTGGTATGATTTTGATCAATCGGCGCTGCATCTCCTTAGAAATACTAATTTTTCCCTCTCAGGTGGTCCATGGCCTGGCAAGATAGCCATTTCTCCTTGTCCTATGATCGCCCTTCTACCACAGCTGTCAGTCAGCCTGATATAGCGTACCGGGAAAGCTCAAAACCTGGAGATCTCTCCTACTTTGAAACCCTTTGTAGAGTCATATCTCTGGCTCTGGAAGTTGTTCGAATTCGCATGCTCAGTCCGCATGCTCAAATGAGCTTCGGCAGCATCCAAGCCTACAAGGAAAGGATTCAAACAATCATGGACGAAGCGAAGCCTTATTTGCGCGAAGCGCAGTGGTGTTCGAATGCCACGGAAAGTTTGGAGCGCGTTGTGTTGAAGCTACATTCTTCATACTTCTCGTCCGAATTGTGTCGACCGGCACTCAAACCGACAAACGATAGTAGTGATCCAGGAGCAGCTAGTATCCGGGCGGACTGCATATCGAATCTCATGACAACCGTGGAAGCTTATATCGAAATGCACAACATCAGCTCCCATGCTGCACGCTCGTGGATTGCTTTGCAACGAGCTATTAGCTCCGCGTTCCTGCTTGCTGTCATCGAGGAGGCGAAATCAGACCCAAATGTTTGGAATCTGCTTCGGAAGCTCGAAGGAATCATCGCACAGCGCGCGAGTAACGAACGAGCCTATGATACTGGCGATACAAACCCTGCTACTGGCAACATGGCTTCTCCGGCTCAAGCTATGAATACATATGATCCAATTACCGGGGCCACAAACCCACCGGGGGTTGTTCCGCCTCCGGTGGATCCCACATCACCCGCTGCCATCGGCGATAATCAGACGCAGTGGGCTAAGTCTCTTGCTAAAACCCATCGTGCCCTGCAAAAACTTTTGAGCGCATTTGGAAATCAGCAAACTCGCCCCGCAAATGGTCGCAGCCCCGCGTACCTGGCTCAGTCTAACACCAACCAGGCTGGCGCATCAGGGGGCTCTTTTGTTCCTTCGGGCATGACACCCTCTGTTGGGTCACTCCCGCCTCCTACCCCAGAGAGCTCGGGCAGTGGCGAATGGACTATGCCAAATATACTGGATCGCGCATCGGAGTATATTCATCCACCACTATGGAGTTAGTGGTGCTGTCACGACTCACTGCTTCCGATTTCTTCAATTTCCAGTACTAAATATTTTTCAGCGCGGTTCAGAGGCATTTCACTGGCGTTGGGTACTGCTTATCTTCACGAAACTAAGGCCATGGTGTTCCGGGATTATTTGGATTACTTAGATCTTCCTCCCGTTTTTGTTCATAGGTTATCATATACCGTCTCTCCTGATGTCTATAACGGTCCTTTCTAATAATTTTCCATAAACTTGTCATGCAGTACTAGCTCTAACCCGCTCTATCTTATGTGTGGGTACCTTGAAGCGCAGGAATTCTTATTCTCATCTGTTTCATATATCCACTGCCGCCACGAGCTGGCCGACACACTCGCCAAATCCAACACCGGAGTTCACACCACCGACCACGCCGGTCATTCGGACTATATCACCATCCAACAAGAGCTTTCTCTCCGAGCCATCAGTCAAGGTTATGGGCTCTTTCCCAGCCTTTGTGGTCTCCAGCAGACAGCCAAAGCTGCCCTCGTTTGGACCACTCACCGTGCCTGTGCCCAAAATGTCCCCCGTGCGGAGGTCTGCCCCGGTGCTAGCCAAATGTGCCGCCATTTGAGGTCCATTCCAGTGCAAGTCCGTAAATTTTGATTCACTGACGGTCGTCACATGCTGCCCAGAAATAATTTCGACCTTGAAGTTTATTTCATAGCTTGACTTATTGACATCGTCTTCAAGATGACTTGCTAATGCAACCTCAGGGTTTGGACCCGGGGTGGCAAAGGGCTCTAAAGCATCCAGGGTGACCACCCAGGGAGAGATGCTAGTTCCGAAGGACTTGCCATTCAAAGGTCCCAATGGCATCATTTCGCAACCCTGAATATCACGAGCTGGGACAACATCTAGTTAGAAAACCATTTACCCGAGTATCAGGTGGCGAAATGAGTACTTACCACTCCAGTCATTCAAAAGGACCATTCCGAAGATATGGTCGTTTGCATCACGCGCATCCAAACCCTGCAACTTGGACACGCCATTTCCGATAATCACGCCCACTTCTAGCTCATAGTCCATGGCCTGTGAGGGACCGTAAATAATGGGCTTTTTCTCCGACGGCGACGAGTGATCAAAGAAGTGACCTTTCGGTCGAACTATTGGCGTCCCCGAGACACAGATGGTGCTAGCACGGCCGTTGTATCCGATTGGGAAACTGAAAAATCCTGGAGGGACCGATTCGTCATTGATAATGATTCGGCCTGCATTGCGAACGTGGTGTACACTGCATGAGAAATCTATCTTCTGTCAGATTGACTGTTGACGTATGCCCAGAATAGACGCAAGGCTCTGAATAGTATAGGATGCATACCTGTAAACCCACCAACTGCAATTGGCAGATACAAAGTGACAGCCCCAATATTCTCGGCGAAACCCACTGGTAAGGGCTTTTTCAATGTCTCTTGTAGCACCCTTCTCACCTCCCGATGAATGGATCTGGGAAGAGCCGCGTACTCATTCAGGGTCGGACTATCAAATATTCCTTCCAGTAGGCCTGTGATGTTGGAGAAGACTCCCGACCGCTGTATGTCGACAAGAAAAATGACCTTGTTTCCCAATCGAGTCACGCATTGTGGATTCGGATGGCTCTCGCAAGATGCCACACCAAACGGGATGTTGGTGATTGAAAAATGGTCGCTGTACTCTGGAGAAGACATTTTCTCTGAAGAAGCGCAGGAAATCTAGAAAATCAAATTACTTTTCAGTGAGGCTACTATGCAGTTGTTTTATTGCTGCATCCCCCACCATCCGACATTGTGGATTTCCCCGCAGTCCACATCCCGAAGATGGACAATGTATGCCAGAAAGAGATAGATCGGTAAGGATTGGCGGCTGGATTGACTGAAACAGCCTGATGCAGTGGCAGCAGGTCGAAAAAATTAACAGCCAGAGGTATGGGGTGGGTATCTGCGAAGGGATTGCGAAACACATTGGTCATGGCATCCACCGCAGGAAACTGCATAAAACCCTTGCAGCACGAGGTTATGCTTCACCGCTGGAATGGAGGTCCACATGGGCACAGTAGATGGCAAATCCAGAGTTTTTGGGTTCCATGAGACTCGATGAGCACATGAGGATGTTCCGGTGACACGACGTCGGCCCATTAGTTACTTCTTGGAGTCAGCAACGTGTCTGATACCCACCGTGGGAGGCCAATCTCATCTACCCTCAAGCCAACTCTTTCACTCAACAAAAGTATTGAAGAAAGTGCCTTCATTCTGTCCATCTGCAGCCTCTTGAATACCTGCATTTTCTTTTGCATCTCTTTTCTCTGTGACCACGTCTGCCAGCGTCGTATTTCTCTCAACCCGAAATTAAGACCCGCAAGCTTTAGCCGGCGAGAACATGGCGGCCACCGAACCCAAGCAATATTACAAAGTAGGTGTCCTACTTTTCCAAGGGTGGATATCCTCGACTTCACAGGCCCGATGGAGGTTCTGTCCCATGTTTCGCATAACCGCAACCCCGACAAGCCGGATCGAATGTTCATCATCGAGACCATCGCGCGAACCTCTATCATCCACGCCGCGAGCGTCATGACCGTGAAAGCCGATAGGCTCTTGGAAATGGCCATGGAAGAACTTGCAGAGTACGACATGCTCGTAGTTCCAGGGGGACCACCAGCTGTTATTCAGCCACTGGTCGAGGGAAATGCCCCGGAGGTCAATATAATCCGCAAATTCGCTACGCTTCCCTTGTCGGAGTCCCGAAAGCCACGTATTTTGTTTTCTATTTGCACAGGTGCATTGATTCTTGGCGCGGCAGGTATTTTGAGTGGAATGACGGTCACAACTCATCACCGTGCAGTGGAGGTTTTACGGGAAGTATGTGCTCGTTTTGGTGACAAAAATGAGGGCGCCACAAATGTAGTGCACAAGCGCTATATGGATGGAGGTTACTTGAAAGGAGATTCAGTACAGCTAGTCACAGCTGGAGGAATTAGTTCTGGACTCGACGCTACATTTCATGTCGTGCGTCAGCTGTCAAGCCCGGAAATGGCTGCCTTTGTGTCGCGGGTGATGGAGTATGATTGGGCTGAGCCAGGAAAGTGATGTCCGGGTATATTCTTTTTGGATATCTATTTGCGTAGGATTACATTGCCGAATTGTTTTTTTATCCTAGTTCTTGAATTGCAATCTTGCAATAAGTGTTTTCTTCAAACTACACCCAAAGCCCTCGCGATACCAAACGGGGTTAATAAGAAATCTTTCCTTCCGGATTACTAGTATACCATATCCAAACATATCAGAAATAAGAAATGGAACTGGTATAAAGAACTCCCATTCCTCATATGACCTAGAGTTACACTTGTATCAGGACCGATAGGTTGGGTGGGATCTCCCGTTTAGCTTTCCAGATACGAAGTGAGGTAGGTCATCGAGCCGAGCGGGAGCCCAAGCTCTAGTTCATTCTTTTGGACCGAATTCAAGCGGTTGTACGCGTCTGCAAATCTAGTCATCTGAAATTGAAAGGTGAAAGGTTTGTCTGCGGGGCCATTCTAGGAATATCCTTTTCCTTGCCATTGCCACAGGTCTTATGTGGACCATGGACCATGCTGACAACCTCTACACGTCTGCGCCTCATACATCCCCCTGATGCACTCATCAGCGACTCAATTGAAGTTCTTCTCTAACAGGGTTGTTTTCAACGGCTGGTTAGTTTCACCATCAGCGGTTTACCCGCTCTAGACCCTCACCGCAGGAGAATAGACGGAGATCCACCGGCTCCGAGTTGTACAGAACCCATGGATTGGTTCTTTCCGATCTGGTAAGTTCAGCTTCATCCCAGGTATCTGAGTCCGCAATGCTATCTAAACACAGTCATCCGGCTGAATGGGGTTGGAATGGGCATGAGGTTGGAAAGTTCCTACTACTAGTAGTTAGTTGCCCGGAACGGAGGAAGGGAGAAGGGCGTCGGGTATATAGTGAGATGAAGTTCTGTCGGAAATCGAGTAGTTTCGGAATATTTTCTGAGTACTAGATATTTCAAGGAGAAAGCAGAAAGCTCTCCTTCCCAAAAAACTCGACCAGTCATTATTGAAAGGAAACAAGACATCAGTGTGACCCACCACATTCAACTACGGTCACCATGATCGCCGTCGCACCCCATACGAAAAATGTTCCAGTCCTATATTCACAGAAACCCACCCAAAATAGAGTCGGTCATTCCGACCAGGCTGAACAAAAAGAACAGTCTTCTATTCTCATAAATGCTGCGAAGTCGGAACCATTTTTAGACTCCGATGTCATGGGCCCCGATCCGATGGCTGCCCTAGGTATCGCCGATCCGCCAGTTACCGCAAACGGCAGAGCCTCTACAAAACACGACGAAAATGACCTCCACCTTGAGAGCTCATGTTTTTCTGATTCTACCATTCATTCTACCGATCGCAAAATGGCCGTCGACGTTTTAAAGATTATTGAAAGTTATGGGGTGGATTACGAAAAGACCGGTGGCTCGTGGAAGGGACTGGAGTCCTTCGTTCCTATTGTTATGGAACAGGTCAAGCAACAGGAACCGATCCGCATGATTTTGCCCGCCTTTCCTTTCAAGTCTCCAAATGCTCGAGACAAAGTTCTGGGGACGATGCCCGACTTTGGTGAAGAATTGGCCCTGTCACATCTCAACGGGCTTTGCGACAGCATCGGCAAAGTATACGAGCCTGGTGCTGACGTATACATCAGTTCTGATGGTCTTGTCTATAACGGTAGGACCCAAAATAAATGCTCAAGATGTTCTTGTCTCTAACTCAATGCCTCCAGATATTCTTGGTGTGCCTGACGAAACTGTTTGGGACTATGGAGAGACCTTGCGGCAAATGGCCGTGGAAAAGGGCCTCCATCATGTGAAATTTATTCGCCTTTTCGAGCTTCTCGAGCATCCTTGGTTCAAATCAGAGACTCCTGAAGCCGCGAAGGCGTACTACTTGGCGCACGCAAGTTGCCTCCGTCGCGAACTAATGTTCGTCTTTGGCGATCCATCATTTGACCCTGACGAGGCCATCAAAACTGACAACGACACTTGTCTGACGTATCGCGGGTATATCAAATTTTTGACAAAAGATCTCGCGCACCAGGACTCCACGGTCAATCTTTCTAAGCGTGCTCGACAAGCCCAGGTTTCCCAGATTGCGCGCCAGATGATTGTGCGCGGTAAGATGTTCGCCGCTGCTATCAAAGCAAACCGGAAGGACTACGTTCGACTATCCATTCACGAATCTGCAGGAGAGCGAAAGTTATCTGTCTCGTTGATTCCGCAACTCCGTGGATCGCTTGGGTATACACCTTGGCATGCATCAGTGGCAGTTGGATTGGACGGCTCATATCGAACCGTCCATGCCGAGGATGTTCGCGACACACACGACCTTGTGTATAAAAACGGTCAACCATATTACTTCCGAGAGAAGTCTGACATATTCAATTGGGCCGAAGATGGGGTTTCCGTCAAATTTGAGCATTTATACCCGAGTGGATTGATCATAAGACCTGCCGACATTGACAACGTTAATCCAACTCCATCTATCAGCGCCCTTCCCATGAGAAAAGTCCGCAAGCTATCCAACATCATGTCTCCTGTAATTCTCCGCGGCTTTACGGGGACTCTTGAGGAAGAGCTATATGTGAAGGCGGCTTGCGAGCTAGGAACCATTCTCCCATGGAGCTTTGGTATTATCCAGAAGGTGCGTGATGCTGGACGCGTAGACAAGATGGGTAACAATGTTACTTCGAATGAGGCTATGCCCATGCATTTTGATGGCATGTTCAAGTTCGAGGAAATTGATGACCCTGTGACTGGAGAGAAAAAGAAAGTCCAGAGACCACCCGGCTATCAATTCTTCACATGTCCCGCCACCGCACCGAAAGGAAGCGGGTACACACTCTTCGCGAGCTCGCGACTCTTCTTCAGATATCTACCACTTCCATGGACTTCGGAACGTCTGCAGAGTATTACTTGGGCCATGGACAATGATGGTTTCTGGGACGCGAAATTGACCAATCTCCCGTTGACGGTAACGCACCCAATTTCAGGTTTGCCTTGTCTGCGCTGGCACCAGCCGTGGGATTCGACCAAGACCAAATTTTCCACATGTGATGTGACAATCGAGAATGATCATCCAAGCTTGCTAAATATCATTGATCGAGTCTTATATGATCCTCGGGTCTGCCTCTATTTTGAGTGGGAGAAGGGTGATCTATTGATCAGCGATAACACTGCCATGCTCCATACCCGAACTGGTTATAAGGCAGATTGCGACCGTGAATTATGGCGCATTCATTTTGATTAGACCTTGAGGGCGAACCGGATGTCTTATGTTCTTCAATTTTGAGCTGGGTCGGTCTGCTTGATCTACTGCTGATTCAAGTGTTGGTTCTCAGCCTTCAATTCATTGTGTCAATGTGGTCAGATTGTGAACGAAATAAGCGAAAGAGACATCAAGCGAATAGCATGTGAATTTAAACTAGTTTTGTATAATCAGTATCTATTGACATTTGTCAACAGCTTCCTTCGGGGGATCATGGTTGTTCCTAAGCGTTACAAAATCCCCGAGAAATAATGTGAAGTATACTAGGAATCCCTAGTGACGACCGATATTGGACTTCGCGCTCTATACAATTTTGTTATCAAACACTAGCCGTCACTTGCTCGGCAGCGTCGCAGATGGTGCATTATTACAAGTAGCTATTTGGAAATGAGCCATTACTCTCGTAATTTAATTGGAGTATATCACGACTCTCCACTTTGCATACTGTACAGTATGTACAACCTACAGATTGTGGCGAATAATGGTGGGCCAATAATACTTCCGCATGGCTGGGGCAAGGCCCCGCCTCCGTGTCCGAGATATCCGAAACCTCCATCTGCACTCTCAAGCCTCTTGAACAAGCCATCTCTCGAACAGGTGGAGCGCATACTATATCTAATCCGGCAGTATGAGCCAGCCTCAGCCAAGCGGTCGCGCTTCTTCCGCCCATGCGTGCCTAGCCTGTCGGCAGTCCAAGGTCCGCTGCATCTATGATCCCACCGATTCGCCCAAATGTCAACGGCATGTTTCTAGTCGCAATGGTTCACGTATTACAAGCGCCGCTGACATTTCTAAATCAGATGTATTCGATTGAGTAAACAATGTGTCCCGCAGGAGCCTCGTAGGCGCAGAAGCCCTCTGCCTCGAACGTTCGTTAGCTCCGTCAAAATTCAGTGATGCAGATTTTGATCCCTAACACTATTACTAGGCGCTTTGATAAGCTAGAGAAACAGATTGACTCTTTGATGAATAACATTCATTCTCAGCGACAGAATGAAAACCCGTTGGCTGTCTCAACTCCACCACATGACATCCCTAGATCCACCTTAACAACCAACGAGAAGCACGAAGGCGCTCAGTCAGTCAATTACCAGAAATCAGATAACTCAATTCGACCCGTGTCTCTTCCAGTGGAATCTATCCTGCCGGGTCACACTGTTTGGCCAGAGAACGAGCCAGCGGAAGCACTTTGCTTTATTTTTCGAAGCGAATTGAGCATTTTCTTCCCATTTGTTACGCCTCCCAACGAACCGGCATCAGTGCTTCGACACAATCACCCCTGTCTATTCAAGGCTATGGTAGTGGCAGCTTCCTATCAAAATAGAGCTCTCCAGATTCGACGGGGTGCGGCTTTGACCGAGGAGCTCGCCAAGCGATTGTTGATTGATGGAGAGAAAACCCGTGATATCCTGCAGGCCTTGCTGATCTCCATTGCCTGGTAAAGAACCTTGGCATATAAAAATAATATAAATAATGAAGCTGATGCGTTTCTATAGGTATCATGGGCATCTCAAGGCAAACCCTCAAATGACAAACCTTCTTCATCTTGCTCTTGCAGTTCTTGCCGACCTCGGGTTTGATAAGCCAGCTCACCTAAATGATCGTCGCACAGTGATATTTGACGCATCAAGATCAAGCTATGGATTTGCAGAGGAAACCAATCGCATGGATAATGAGGACCGCAGGACTCTATTGGGTTGTTTCTATGTAACCTCTGTGTTCGTCTTTTTTCGAGACCAACGCCATTTATTGGGTAATTGCTAATTAATTGGTCCTGACTTAGGGCATCTGCTGTATTTCGACGTGTTGATGCAATACCGTACAGCCGGCATCTTAACCAGGCATTGCAAATCCTGGTCGAAACGGGAAAGCATCCAGCAGATGAGTTGTTGGTTCTGCATGTTCGTTTACAAAGCCTGGTCGAACAAATTGCCCAGGTAGCACCGTTCGATGATCCACATGGACCTCACAGCTCCTGGGCTCCGATCACGATGCATATTCGCTATCTAGAACAGCAACTAACAAATCTCACGCAATCGGCAACCAAGTTCAACGGAAATTGTAAGACTATTCCCTAGTTTGGATTATTGCCAACGCAGCTACTGACACTTGCTTAGGCCAATGGCTCATCCATGTTCATGCAGCACGAATCTTTCTCTATGAGGCCGGACTTTATGACCCTCTATGGCAGAATGCGAATACTGGTGCCCGACAGCAGCGGTTAGACACAATGTGGAAATGCCTTGCAGCGACAAAGTCTTTATTCGAAGTATATCTCTCCATGCCAGATCATATGATCTTTACCGCGTCATACGCCCTTTGGGGTCTTTTGGCGTATGGTCTGCTTATCGCATCTCGTCTCTGCTTATCCAAAGTTGAAGGCTGGGATGTAGACTTGGTTCGAACGGAACTTGACTTTTCACAAATACTTGAGTTGGTGACACAGAAGACAGATCAAGGCAATGCGTTCGCACGCGCTCATTGGTTAGGAGATGGTGGCTCAGATGAGCTGGTTGACCGGATCAAAATGAAGACAAGGAGAGTTCAGACTTGGTTCAATCAATACTTTCCCCGGATATTTGCACAACATGACCCTGCTCTTGCCATGGGTCCCGACCTTAGTTTCCTTCTAGGAATCGATGATATGTTCTGGGAGGAACTCATCACAGGTTTCCAACCACCTGGTTTATAGCCTTTCGCTAGATTTTATGGTGACAGGTCTTGGGAGTATGTACAAAATTAAAAGATCTTGAATGTGTTCGGCATATTTCTGTCAATCATTTAGCTCCCCCAGTGGCTGTCCAGTAAGCCTTTTCTCGATATGTTTCTAGGTTGTACCGTCCTTTCGGTCTCTATAATTATCTGGACACGAAGTCCCGGATACTTTCAGCATAGTTTCACTTCTAACAAGAAAACTATTCTCTCGTACATCTCTATCACCTGATTCCTGGAAAGCCTCCCCCAGATGGCGTTGAGATTTTATGCGAGGGGCAGCCCGATGAAATGGATCCAGGGGCAGTCCATCGGGAGAGGGCTTGCACATTATTAGGAGCCAAATGAGCGGACTGTGATTGACACTGGCATGACGGGTTTTGAATTCCTGTCTGGGGAGACGAAATCCCATCTAACACATTGCTTCCCAGAAGGGAGGGAGATGGAGATGGATAGGGTGATGTGGGCTCTGGCGGTACGAGGACAATTATTTTCGTTTGGGGATATATATTGCTCATAGATTGCAGCATCTGTGGAAGGGAGGTCTCTTTGTGAATGAATATATGTCAGCATCGCATCAAGAGCTTATGTTTTCGAGATTGGCGCCTCACCTGTCGCAACATAGTAGAGTGACTGGCTCGCTGGGACTCCATTGTTTGGATTTGTATGTATTGGAATTGGACTTGAAAACGCATCGTACATCAAATTTCCTTCATGGCAGCTCCCCATTGGTACTTGTATGCCGGTAGATATACTGCTTTCCGAAGACGCGTAGCACATGGTGTCATTCATAAAGCTTCTACCATCGATCGTCAAAGGTATCTCTCCAGTTATCCACCCGGAGGATTGCGCAAAATTGAAATCACTAGGCCATATAGATGTTTGCGTGATGTTGTATGAAGGGGTAAAAGGCGTTGGCGGTTCCTTGGCCATAGGTGATGTGTCGCGGGAGTTGACTTGTAGGTCATTCTGAGGGCGGGATACGTGACGGGGTGATAGAAGCGGAGAAGGAGAGTAGGGCTGATCCCATCCATTTAAAGCAGCTGCAGCTCGAAGCTCGTTCGCGATCACGCGCTCTTGGAGTTTGGCGATTCGATCTCTGATTTTTCGACCTAGTTTATATCAGCTTCGCTTTACCGTAGTATCATTCGGACTGGAATTCTAACGGTGGTTTCTTTGAGATAGTCTATTTTGCAGCCGTCGTCTCTCTAAAGGATCCTGCTTTTGACTAGATGTCTCATCATTGCTTGGGGACTTGGGTGATTGTTCGGCTCTCATTTTGGACTTATTTCGCATAAGTCGTGAAGATACAGCTCTTTATTGCTTGAGGGGTGAGGTGAGATTCCCGACTTGGTGGTATCTTCAGGTGCTATAAACATGCAGCGGGAGACTGACACTGGTCACCCTGGGTCATAATACTAGTCTTTATACAGGCCGGGCTTCCATGCACACCCACGAGGGAAACACTGACGAAGGAAGATTGCCGACTCGAGTCAATCTCACCGTGACACGCATCTGTACGACAGCACGCAGAGAGCCAGTAGTCTTCTCGCAAGACAATTGGCAAGGACTTGAGATCAAGGCTTTCAGCCGCGTGATACTTCGGGTCCATGCGACTTCGCACATCTCAGCTGGCTCACCCTGGGTGGAGAGGGTTCCTCTCTCGCTCGTCTTACACTCTCATTTGATGCGTTATGACGCCAGGTTTGTTCCACCAGTGTATCCACACCTTGGGGCTAGTTCTGGGATTATCCAGTCACTGGATATGGTGTGTGCCTTGGATGGGTTCGGCTACCAGCGGTTTGAGATGTGGCGTAGCACATGAGGTTGGAATCATGAGGAAAGCGTGGGACGCCCATATTCTGGATGATCTTTCCACAAGCACTTAGTGTTATTATAACCGTACTACTTTGATAACTAGGGGCTCTTCCCAGCCAAATCCTTATAGCAATGGTGTTCACAATAAGCCGGACGAGCGTCACCAAACTGCGTTGGGCACCGCCAGACATGACCGAAAGTTCATATTGGGATTTGTGTCAAGCTAGATGTGGGCTTTTGTCAAATTTTAATAATTAAAATGAAAGAAATGAGTTGGTTCTAAGTTGATGATTCCATTATGCTGCAAATCTACTTCCCTGCCAGGCCGGAATAATGGCCGTCCCAGCATCTGTACTTTGTGTTATAATCAATCGATCGATCAATCAATCTAAGATGGCAGATGCTCCTTCCTAAATGGGATATAGCATAGCCCACGATCTATATTACCATGCCACATATTTGGGAGACTTGGATACTAATCGGGTCCAAGAAAAGTTGTGGCCAAGAGCGAACACTTCGATTGATGCCACCACGAAGTGAGATAAATGGCCATCGACCAAGGTTTTACAACTCCTCAAGGTCAGCCCGCCTCAGGATAATTTCAGGGGTAGCCAATGCTCTGGTAGCGTGGGCCTATGTTGCCCGTGTCCTGGCGTCTCTTCAGCGCATGTAAACCAGGGAATCCCGGACCGCCAGAACCTTGTTGATGCCATGTGGATGGCTCTCAGAGCGTCCTCATTTGTCCCGATGGAATGCATGTGAGATCCCAATGTGACAAAAGATGGCGGAGCATCCGGTTTCACTCAACTGTGGACTAAAAGGGAGAGACAAATACCTTGTGCGACAATGCCTCCGGATAATGGTGGGGGGTATTCTGGGGTTACGACAGCTGCAAGTTCTATTTTTCTGTTTGAGTCGCTGGCTACATGGTATTTGAATAGCAATTGATCCTTCCAGTGGAATCAGGACTGTGGGTTGTCGTGTTGCAACCAACACTGCATGGCATAGTTACAGACCCTGCTGTCATCGTGACTTTCCTTGATACTATCAGCTTATTGGCATTTGAGAGACTTCTATCCCGTATACAGAAAACTAATTCTGGCACCAACTACCAAAATTCTCGCTTGAATTTATCCTTGGTTTCGCCATCGCGCATGATTCCAAAGCACGAGCCCTGAAATGTGTAACCTCGCCCGCCTATCCTCCATCCCTCAACCGTCTAATTGTACTTGTTCTTCTTTTCTTTGATTCCAAATTTCGTTTATCTCTTGGCCGCAAAAGTGGCCTTCACCCTATCAGCTACAAAATATGGATAAGTTGCACAGGGTAGTACCCATTTGCAGAAATTTTCCTTCCTCATTATCACCACAATAGCAATGATTAGTCAAGCATAGGTTATAACACTATAAAGCCCACCGGAGCAAACCTATCTACAATAAATTGCCCTCTTGTGAGGGGTATTTGCCACGATCGAAAAGCAAGCCAGTTTTGTAAAACTAGCCTCACAGTGCCATGCTAGAGACTATAAGCCCTAGCTCTTAGGGAAGTTGGTTTAATTAATTTACCGAAATTACTCAATAGTGATAATCCCATCGTACTCCATAGACTCGGCCGAACACTTTCGGATCCCGGGACCAATTATTGCTGGCGATACTGATGATGAATCTTCATTTATTCATGTTACCAATTCCCCAATTCGATCATTGATAACTCACATTGAGACTTGGGATCTTGGCCATAGTGAGGAATCATGAGATACTAACTACCTGGGCCCTGGATGGCAAATATGTCTCGACTTGCCACCGAATCGTTCAGATTTCCCTACCAACGGTCTGGGGAGGTTTGCGAGTATAGGCACTGGCATGCCTTATGCCCGGGTCGTAGTAAGTACTAGTAGGTAATAACTACTAGTAGCGGAGCCCGAATATCATCGGATTATTTCTCTCTCTGAAATTACTAGTATCTGGCTCTGATGGACGTGAAAATGAAACTATATCTCACCAGTAACAAGGCCGCAACTAGCGGTGCGGTGCGGCATGGCATTATCCAATTAGGGCATATCACTCCGCCACATCCCGCACACTCACCAACGTCACCCAATCACAACCAACACAAACAGTATTTCCAAAGCAGAAAGGCAGCTAGTATGCTTATTAGAATTCAAGTTCGAATTAGAAATACCCGTCAGCGAGTGAAATGTGCAACGGCCTCGTTCTCGTCAGCTGGCGCCAGGCAGCCATTTTCGTCCACCTGGATTGGTTCCAGGGTTCTTCCTCGTCCGTACAACCTGACTTCACTCTCGCTATTCTCACCTTCACTTTCACTTTCACTTTCACCTCCTCTCTGTAGCCCTGCCAAAAACCCTCACGACTCTCCCAACTTGAACACCACCACCCCTTCGCTGTGTCCAATCAACTTTTGATAGCTCCCTCTATCTCATCTTCTAACTACCCCATCCTCTACCGGTCATGGTACGCCTACTGCAAACAATAGGGCACCTCCTCCCTTACCACCTTTTCGCATACGGCACTTTACTAGGCACACAACTCTACCAGGTAACTACTTCACCCTTCCACCCACACACCAAAGACCTAGCCTAACCCGTTCACTCTACTCGCCAAACAAAACAGACCTTCGTCAATACAAAACTATGCTTCAAATACCTCCCCATGCGGGAGTTCCTCACGCTACAGAAACGCGTTTTCCCCGTATACTTCGCTTCGCAAGTCGGATTGGTGGTTCTCACTGCCGCAACGCACCCGCCTTATAGTATTATTTCGCTGATGAATGACCTTTGGAGCGCGGGGCCATTACTTGTTGTTTTGGGGACGGGAGGGTTGAATTGGGCGATTTATGGGCCTCGTACTACGACGACGTCGCTGGTCAGGAAGGCTGTTCATGGTGAGGATTCCTGAGACAGCTTGTCGTGGTGAGAGCTGCGGTTACAATGGGTTCTTGGGCTGACGATATTGCAGATGCTAAGGAGAAGCAGCAGGGCGATCAACTTGATGATGAGGGTAAGGTTCACCGCGCAAATAAGGAATTCTCATTCAACCATGCGATGTCCATTCATCTCAATGCGATTTCGCTGGTCGCAACCATTTGGTATGGTTTTACGCTCTCGTCCTCTCTTCTCGAGGGACTTTAGCTCGCTGCGCTACGAATATAATAGCTGGAAAAGGTTATAGCATTGTTATTGGCCCTCGTGGGATACAATACATTGTAAACTAAGAGTGGTTGACATGTATGTCCTTGCTCTTCCATAAAAATTGCAGGATCTAGCTCCTGAATTAGACGTCTAAAGCTATCAGAATACTATCGTGAAGCTATCTCTTCTGTAGGACTAGCCCTTAGATGACTAGCCCATACTGGCGGCTTGGATAAAGATGCGTTCTCTCTATTGTATCAAGCTTTCAGAGTCAATTCCGATTCATGGCTGAGAGAAAAACATACCTTCATGAAAAGAGACCCCACAGCAGCCAAGCATCCTGCAAACACAACAAGATAGTAGGTGTGGGACATTGATTTGACAATTGAATACAATGCTTCTTTGCGAACTGTGTCCGGTAGCTGTTTTAGCAGACCACTGCTTGGGCCAAGGATTGCTCCGCGAAGTGTCTCTCGAGGATACTGGGGTATCAGAGTCTGCAAGTCGTCAAGGGCCTGGTTCTGAAAAACGGCACCGGAAATGGCCAAAGCAAGAGTAATCCCGAGATTCTGTGCCAGAGCAATAAAAGAGGCTGCATCGGATGCGCGCGACGAGGCTACTTTAGCCTGGGCCACTGAAAACCCCGTCTGGATATACATTCCAGCGCCGATACCTATCAATGCCGAATACCCATAAATATGCGCAGTGGAAGTGTTCTCGTTGACAGTCGCTGTGATTGAACCATTGATTAGCTTTCGCATTATTATAGAGAGCCTGCGTAAATATACTCATCAAGCCACCTCCAAGCGCAGTCAGAATCCCTCCCACTAGATACCACGGCATATAGTATCCCAACTTTGTCATAGCAGCACCATTAGCCAAGCCACAAAATACCATAGGGAATATAAATGGGAGCAGTCCGACTGCTGCCCCTAAAGGTGAATCTCCTCGGACAAACTGGAAGTGCAGTGGTATGTAGTATGTCGGCACCTGAGAGGATTGTCAGCGGAGTCTAGTAGGAAATCGATGTCACTTACAAACACGCATGTAGCCGCACAGCTCATGAGACAAAACAAAAGCCACATCAAAGGCATATTCAGAAAGTCTGCTGGAAACACTCTTTCGGTCTCCGTAGTACCGACGCTGAAAGCTTGCTGTAAAATGAAGAGCAGCAGGACCACGCCTCCTACCACCCAAAGCGCTATTTCCCGACCAGAATCCCACGCAAATATATTCCCTCCGAAATTGATGGCCATAATTAGGGCTGTAAAAGCTCCGACATTCAAGACCATTCCCAGATAATCGATCTGTAAGAGCTTCTGTCGGAAACTCGTGACTTTCTGGGGATCACCACGAGGCAGATAGAAAATATAAATCGGGGAAAAGGCCGCTCCGATGCAGAGGTTGATATAGAACGACCAGCGCCATGTCGCATGTCGATTCTGGGCAAATGCGCCACCGACCCTGCCATCAAGGCAATTAGACAAAATGACTGCAGAACGTCGATGCAAAATACTCACACAGGCCCCAAAACGGTCCCAAGGCCCCATGCTGCTCGATTTCTCAGCTTCTTTGATCTCTTTGGTTATATTCAATTGGCACTTACTAATCCCTGTGAGCGCCATATACTGTGGTCTCTGGCGGACTGATGAAGTGATCGAGAGCAATGTCAAGCAGCCCAAATACATCCCAGCACCCTGCAGATGCATATATTAGTATCGGGAGAGAGGTTTAGATTGTTGGATATTGGCACCAACCCCGAGACCGGCGACGGCACGACCCACAATCATCGCATTCATGGTTGGAGCTGCACCGCAGATTGCACTCCCCACCTCAAACATCACAACGGAGAACAAGTATAGAAATTTGGCGCTGAAGATGCCGAATAGCTTACCCCTGTGTATATCGATAGTTGTTAGTAGCCAATACTACCGGGATGAGTGCAGTAGCTAGAGAAAAAGATCGAATTTACCATGCGATGATGGTGGCCGAGCCTGATAGAACGAAAGCAACCCCAAGCCAACTCATCTTGCCCACCTCCCCAAACCGTTCAACGATTGGAGACTGCACATCTGCAACGATGGTGTTGTCAAGTGAAAAGAGAAAGGTGGAGGAAAGGATTGTCAGAACGATCAATGCCCACTATATCAAATGGTTAGTCAGGGAAATCAATCGTAATGAAAACAGGTCCAGAGCCCAGGCTCACAAGTGGCTTTGCTACACTAGACTGCACATTTTCCTCGATATAGTCGACACCCTGTACGTCTTCTCGGACGTCCGGAGATTCAATTTGGACCTGTTGAATGGGATAGGTGTTTCTGGGGATATTTCGGCCGGGTCCGGAGAGTACTCCTGGTTTGGTAATTTGATTTGGCTCCTTGAGCTCGGTTTCCATCTTGGGCGAAGGAGTGGGAGGGACGAAGAGAGACAGCAGATATAGCGAATGTGAGTGAGTGATGGAACGGCGAAAGTCGACAAGAAAAGTTACAAAGGAGAGGCAGAAGCACCCAGTAGCAACCGATCAGGTACCAGGAGTTCTTAGTAGGGTACCACCACCAGCCTCAATCGCATCATCACGGCTCATAAACTGCTCATACTGGAGTATTTGCGAGGTAGTGCGAGGCAGACGTGGTACCTCTCGAAGTGTAGTACAGGGTCCCGTGGTTCCGTTTATCGTGTGATGACTAGATTCTGTCGAGGTTACGCTGGAAGGAGAGTTAAATTACAGTCTTAAACTTTGTACTTATCGAGGCGTGCTTGCACGATGGCATGGTTTGAATTTGGAATATATTAGTATTTTAATATACTAGTATTGGCTAATGCGGGAACCACCTCTTTCGTTGTAGATACCATAGAAGCGTATCTCAATATTGGAACCTCGGGAATTATATGCCCAAGAGGAGGCCTGTTTGCTTCAATAGCTGGTAGTACTAGTTAACTAACTACTATTCCACACTTCAGCTCACTGTTTATAGGCCGAGGGCGACCCCTACCTAGTCCGCTGACAGGACCAATGAATAGCCTCAGGCTGTTCAGAGTCTAGTCTACTCTTCTCGTGCGATCTACTCTACTCTGAAAGATCTTGACATGAGCAATGGACCTCGTCACTGTATTTGTAGGTATCTCTGTGCAATATATAAAAAAGGTCGCTGTGGTATCACAAAGTGCGCGCTTGAACGCCGCGCCCGGGAGCAAATCCGGTCTCCGGGCCCCTTCCAACGAATCCCGCGATTCCATAGTCGCTGGGAGTGTGGTATGGTGTAGTGATGGTGGTGGTAGTGGTGGTGAAGGTGAAGGTGAGGGCGAGGCGATGTGTAGATTATCATTAATGCAATGGTTGTAGTTATGTCGTGGCTTCTATATTTTCGGTTCGAAAGAGCAGGGCGCTTCAGCAATTATGAGAAATAGCCTGAAAAGGTTTCGGCTCGGAACTCGAGCTGCTGTGGACTTTCTAGGAGCAAAAAGGACTCGTATCGTAAGCCACGCTCTCTGCCGTGGCGGATGGACCAAGGGTTGACAGTGCTATTCCAAACACTGCTATATCCATCGAACAATTGTCGCCAGTAGCACGCTTCGGCGGCCGGGGTCAGGTATCGCTCGCGAAATGTTTTGACACTGTTCCGGGCGATGCGTGCGGCGGCGGAGGTGTTTTCCACGAGCGGCTCGATTTTCTCGGCCAAATCGCTGAAGTCACGCTCGACCTCGACATAATTTTGTTGGGGCCCTTCGGAGACCAGGAGGTAATGGTGGTGCTGGATGTATTGGAGTTTATGTGCCACAATCACGGAATTGCAGGCCTGTCGGTATTTCAGGGATGCGGAATACGAACGTCCTACAGATTCAGTCAGCGCCCCCTCCTTCAGCCATAGTCCTCACCATCTGCGGAAAAAACTTACCTTCGACGTGGGCAATAAACATATAACGACAGTGGTCCTCCATTTTGAGCACGTTGGCCCCCGTGGACCATTGGACCTGCTTCACGTCACCCCATGGCTTATCCCGGGCGGCCTCGATCAGGGCCCGGCGCAATTTCGGAGAAAAGCTGGGCTTTCCACGCCAGACAAGTTGGGGTTTCTTCTCATTCCAGGGGACATCAAGTCGCTGGATACGATCGACGACTTGGTCGTAAGGTCCGATGTAATTGGTCGGGTTATCCCAGGCCCAGAAGCTGAAATCCGGCATGAGCCAGACCCCTTCCTCGGTGGGAGTGCGAGCAAAGACCCAAACAGGGCGTTCGGAGTTGGTCACATCCTCGACTTTATCCTCCACGGAAAAGACGAATTCGATGTCACGCTGGTCGGCCCGATCCCGGTCAGCGACCAGCGCGCGGTGAATCGAACTCAACACTCCCAGAATCTTTTTTCGGTGGTCATCACCCATGGATCGCGCGGCGACAACATGGAGGTTGCCCTGAGAGATGAAGGCACGAGCCATGCCGGATCGAAGTTGAATGGCGTCGAGGTCCTCGGTGACGAGACCCCCCTGAGAACGCCAATGTCGCTTCCCGCGCGCAACATCCTCGAAGAGTCCTGGGAATGCGACCTTGCATTGTGTCTGTTCTAAGGCGTCGTTGCGGGCATCACGGGGGTATTCGAAATTCCAAGTTGGGGTGGTGGGTAATTGGAGGGCGGGTTCAGGGCAGGTTAAACAGGTTGAGCATTGGAAGGTTGTCGAGGTTTGACAGGCACAATGGCCAGCAGGGATGAGTTGGGTGAGGAGAGGGTGAATATAATCGCGATCGGAGTTGACACCATACCAGATGGCGACAATAATGCTGTAAAAGAGGCACGCGATGATGCACAGCAGCGATAGACCGCGTCGCGGTCGCATCATAGAATATGCCGCGGTCATCGGTCCAGAAGATCACGACCGCATACTCCAGATGATTAAAAAATGGAGAGAATGGGGGAGGGAGGGGGGAAGTGGAAAGGTGGAGAGGAGGAGGGGGGGGGGGGGGGGTTGTAGAGGGGAAGAAAGGAAGAAGGCGAGTTTAGGGGGGAGCAGGCTGAAACGAAGCCGAATTTGGGAGGATTGACAAGCTCCCGAGGGATCGGCTGGATTTGGGCGCGGGCGATTGGCGAAAGAGCCTCAGCGTGGGTCGCTGCGTCATGGGGCGGTACAGGTACGTAGTCAGGTACTGTAGGTATATTTGAGTATGCCAGTGCTGGATATACTTTAGACTATAGTATAGACTATAGTATTAGTCTATAGTGTAGGCATGAATGCTATATACTATATAATATATAATATACTAGTATATGTCGTGGCTATGTATACTAGTAGGTGTGGTATACTAGTACACTATATACTACACTGTCACAGCATACTGTCTGTAACAAGTCTGCCTTGCTCCCCTTGGCCCCCAACTCCAGTCAGCCTAACACGAGCTTGTGAAATACTCGTAGTACTCCGTACTACTAGTAACTACAGTATTCCATCTTTTCTCCGCCCTCTTGGCAACGCCCAGCAACCACAACGTCTGCGCCCACCACGCTCACCCAATGAATTCCCCGTGTCCGCTTCCCCTTCCCATTTCGAGGGAGAAGCATATGCACCTCCTCACTCTTACTCCGCATATCTCTGCATAGCCCTGTGATTTCTGATCCACTCGCTTATTTGGACCCTGCTACTATATTTATACGAGTATCATACCTTCACAGAGTACTAGGACGAGCACCTACCTACTCGAACCTACTTCTCACCGCGAATTGCCCATTGCCCATTGCCCTGCATATACACTATACACTCCGCCCTGATAGCCGACGCCCCAGCCAATCTTGATTTTACCTTCCACAGCCCTATACTACTCCGGACTATTGTGGCTTCAAATACGAACTAAGAAAGATAGCGCGTGATCAAGTGTCCCCTGCATAAAACTGGAATCTCTTCAGGGACGAATCACTGCAAGTTGGTAGGCGAATTGACCTGGCGGTTTCGAGCCTCAACAAGATCGACACTTGGACCGATCGAAAAGGTAAGCTGCCCAGGTGGTCCAATCAAAACGATTGTTACTCGTGACTAGCGGGCTTTTGTGATCCAATTCTGCGGCATTGAACTAGGGTATCGCGATTTCAAAAGCACTACAGAGTACTGTCCGTAGCTTTAGTAGGGAGTAGATTCATCATATAAGATGTCCAATAAAGTGATTGCTTACTTTGCCAACGAAGGGCTACCGGATGAAGCTAGGACCCCCTTCATATCCGAAATCTCTGATACATAACTTGAAGTCCAAGTTCCCAGGAGTATCTTATACTCCATTCCTAGTGCATCCAGTGAGCATTGCACTATCTCAAAATGGGTATCGGACTACGAGTCTCGCACTTTTCCTGCCGCCCCATCGAATCCACCAGGATCCACAGGCCAACGTGTGAAGACTTTCTACGGAGTACGATAGTACTCCGTACTTGGACATTGTAGAGACTCGAGAGTAGAGTAAGGAGTTACCGTTGCTGTACTCCGTAACTGAGCAGGAGTTTCAGGTCCTAACAAGGTTATCAAGACCTTCGAGAGCTTTAATCTTGAGCTTCCAGCCATGTGGTTACGATAAATGATGAGACAATTGACCCCTGAATCACACCTGGACAGTGCGCCGAGCAAACTCAATCGTGTCGCATCACCCATAAACATAAAGCAAACTTGATGCGTCTCCTATATTGGTATTCGACAAATATCCTTTACACTGTCCTGGACGAGGTGTTAGCTAGTATTTTCCAGGCGGCTAAATGAATAAAGAATGTTCAAATGAAAAAGCCAATGGGTGGGGAACGCGAAAAAAAAATTATAAGTGCCAACACTTTGACCAGAAGTTTGAATAAATACAAAGACACTGCTCATACTCCGTATATTGTAACACATACTAATTCTTAACCCCCCTACTACGAGGGATCTGTACGTCCAGCAGCATACGCGACATCTCATTTTCGCTCGGTAGATCTCTAAATGGTCGAATGAAAACATGTATATCAACTTAAAGAACCCGCCATTGGTGTATGCGTTGCCTAGACTAGAAAGAGTATATTAGCCCTCGTCTTAGCTTCGGTGTCCCACGAAGAGAAGCGTTTCCTCAATGTGTAATCTGTATACTAACGCAAGGCTACACAGTTCACAAATCTCGGTACGAGGCTTGTTTGCCACGGAAATGGCCCACATTGAACTCTAACTGTCGTTGTCAGGGTTGGACATTGGCGAGGCTACAGTGGCGCCGCAAAGTTTCCAACGAGTACCCACTCGTATAAGATAGAAAAGAAGGTAGCTACTAGTCTGCCATTAGAAGGCGGTAAATAATGATGGCCAATATGCGGTTGGAAACTTTTGCGGCGCCACTGTAAGCGTAGAATCGACTGCTGCTGCTGGATTCGATGCAGAATAACGAACCCAAAATAATTAATCTCTTGACCTATCTTACTTTGGGATTTTTGGATAACACAATAGGTAGACTCAAGGCCAGATAGTCTTATTCTAGCTGTAAACTTGAATGCCGTTTGCTGTAAATTGTGCTGCACTGGTATCAACATGCAGATGCCTCCCGAGTTTGAACCCCCGGAAAAAAAAATAATAACCAATCCCCAATTCTCCCTCTCGACGCCGGCTGCAAAATGCTTCAATAAAAAAAACCCCCCAACCAGACCGCTCTCAGGTACTTTTCAAACGCAATTATTGTCGGGATTGGCTCCGACCAGACCTTACCCCACGACTGCGCGCTGGCGTGTCGTTACTGTTCATCTCCGGGGTCATCGGTTCAGCTGGACGCCGTTGACGGCTGGGTCGAATCCGACCAAGAGCCCGACGTAACAATCCATCCGCCTCCTCATCCAGTTCCATCTCAACATGAGCCTCCGCAGTGGCGTTCGAAGCAGCAGTGTCTGGTGTCGCGGCGTGTGTGACTTCGTCCGTCCACTCTTCTGTGTACGTATCCGGACGTGCACGCCGACGCGATTCATCCATCCGATCTTTGCCGCGGATTCTGGAGTTTCGGTTATTTGACGTTCGTAATCCGTCTTCCATGGCTCTGCGATCCTTCTGATGGCCTTCCGAGGCCCAGATTTCGAGTGCTCGCGAAAGCAGTGTTCCAGCGACTCCTGCGCCACCAGCAGCGTCACCACCGCCACTGGCACCTAGGACACGGACGGCTTCGTGCAGGGCTGTCACCGCTTCAGTAGTCCGGCCAACCTCGAGGAGCAGCAAACCACGCGACGTATGCAATGACCCAACCAGTCCGCGATCTTCATAGCCCCCTACCCCGGATGCTGTAGCAACGGCCGCGGAGCCTCCTGCGCCACCACCTAAGAAGGGAGAGTAACCCATGCTTGTTCCTCCGCAACCAACACGCAAGCACTCCTCGAATTCACGAAGGGCATCCGGAACACGGCCCATTCGGCGTAGTGCATGACCCAAGTTGGCACGAGTAGCAACCCAGGCACCCGGCTCACAATGAAGAGATCCGGCCAGCTTTAGAGCTTGCTGGAACAGCTCAATGGCGTTGGGTAGATTACCCTGGTGGTAGTAGACAACACCAAGCTCGTTCAGCACGAGAGGATCGCCTCCGAGGGGGCTCGATGGTGAACTACCCGGAAGACCAGGAGCATTACTCGCAGGAGAACCTGTTGACATAGAATATGCAGCGCAAAGATACTCGTGGGCAAGCGACATATTATTCAGCGCAAGATGCTGCATTCCAAGGAAAAGTTGTGGGAGATGGCTGCCTTGGAAAAGTCGTGCAGCTGTGCTGTACGCAGCGATTGCCTGGTCATGCTCACCCTCGGCGGCAAAGGTATGTGCAAACCCAATCCAAGCGGGTGCGGAGTGAGGATCAAGTAGAGAAGCCTTAGAGAAGAATCTTCGGGCCTCGGCAATTTTCGATACCGAGAGGTAGTAGACTCCGATGGCAAGATATGTATATGGTTCTTCGGGGGCATGATCCGCCAACATATGCGAGAGCAAGAAAAGAGCATTAGTAGCTCCAGTCTCATAGAGGCAGGCCAGATGTAACGGATAAACTCCAGGGGCATGCCCAAGGTGGCTGTGGGCAGCCATGCTTGGGCTATTTGTGGTCGTTAGTTCGTTGGATTGAGATGTAGAAAGGATGGAGGATGTGAGTTCCAGGGCTTCGGCAAAGCGGCACTGGGTGAAGAGGGCTTCGGCACGCGCAAGCAGGATATCCGGGTTCTCGGCGAGGTTGTAGTGTGTAGAGAGAGTCTCTGTCGCATCGGATAGGATATTTGGCGCAGAGTATTTGGAGAGACGGGTGGTGTAGAGCATTTTCGTAAAGTCGGCCGCCTCTTGGGCCACAGCGGGGTCAGGCGAGGAGACTGAGTCGAAGTCCAATGATTCGAGAAATTCCAATTCCTCGGCTGGTGACATGAGCGAGTTCTTCATTAATTGATCGAAGGCCTCGAAACATTGAACGTCAATCCGCACCGCATCCTTGTAGCAATCGCGGGCACGGTCGAAGGCATTCTGCTTTGCAAAGCAAAGGCCCCGTAGGTAGCACATTGCCGCCTCAAATCGGACATTATTCGCATCTTCCTTTTCTCGTTCCTCTGCTCGCTCGGCTCGTGATGTGGGGTGCTTGCCATTGCGCATTGTGACATGGCTTTGGCCATTGAGATGTTGGATCTTGCGCCGACTGTTGCTGTTTCGAACGAGGTCGGTGGGGTTGTGCTCGCCCAATATCGATAAGGCTTGGTCGAATTGGCTCTGTTTGATGTAGCAATGAGCTGCAAGGTAGCGGCAGGCGGTGCTTCGAGAGATGAGGTCTTTGCGGGATAAGAGGGCCAAGGCACGAGTGAAGTTATTGTTGGAGAAATGAACCTGTGCCAACCAAAAGGCATCCGAGTCACTATCTTCACGGCGAACAGTCAGTATTCAACTTCGGGTTTGAAGCGCGACAGGAGGCATACTGGTGAGCGCAAGAACCTTGTCACCGATGTAGATGGCGGAATCATGCTGGCCGCGATTCAACGCGTCCTGTCTCCAGGAGCGCAGGTACCGTTCCATGACCACAGATCAGACGCGTCAAGGCCAGAAAGAACAAGCTTGAGCTAGGCGGCGGGCATGAACTCCAGCAATCCGCCTTCGGAGAATTTGATAATTGCGCGGTGCTGCTCGCATGAGCGGGTCGAGCAGTGGACAAAACAAATGGCCCGTGCACGGAGCCGCCACAGCGACGGGATCAAAAGGTCGTGTAAACTGATGAAAGATTGGATTCAAAAGATAAAGACTTGAAATCAGTGACTAAGAGACTTGAAGTAGCACGAATGTCAGTTCCTTTGATTTCTGTTCGCCCATCGACACTGCCTTTCGTCCCAGCAACCATACACGTGATCTATGTCATGTGATGATAAGCAATGCAGATTGGAGAGCGGTGTGGCCTAGCAGTATCACACCTGGTTTCATTGGCCGAGCTCTCACCTGCCCCACTTCTTTCTCTTATCGAACCTCGAAGGGCATCGAGCAACCTTCACCTCGCCCAGCCTTACTCTCTTCGCTCTCTTCTCACCAACTCAAGAGAAACCACCCGCCAAAATGTCCGAGCGAAAAGTCTTGACCAAATATTACCCGCCCGATTTCGATCCCAGTGCGATCGGGCGCACACCCAAGCACCTGCGCAAGCAGGGCCCGAAAGTCATCACCGTCCGATTGATGGCACCTTTCCCTATGAAATGTACGAACTGTGGCGAATATATCTACCGCGGACGCAAGTTCAACGCCCGCAAACAAACCCTCGAAGAAAAATACCTCAATATCCCCATTTATCGCTTCTTCATCCGTTGCACACGATGCAGTGGAGAGATCACCTTTCGAACCGATCCAAAGAACATGGACTACGAATGCGAAAAGGGTGCCAAGCGAAACTTCGAGCCATGGCGCGATTCCAAGTCCGGCAAATACAATGAAACCGAAGAAAGAAACCCTCGACCGACTGGAACGCGAAGAGAATGCCGAACACGAGCAACAGGAACGCGATAAGATGGCCGAGTTGGAGGAGAAGATGCACGATTCAAAGCGGGAGATGGCGATTGCGGATGCGCTGGACGAAATCCGTACTCGAAATGCGCGCATTGCACGAAATGAAGGCAAGGACGACGAGGCGGCTCTCGACTCTATTCATGAACAGGTAGACGAGTCACGTCTGCAGGCTGAAAGGGAGGATGAAGAGGCTGCACGCAAGGCATTCATGACCGCTGATGGGGAGAGGATTAAGCGTATTGTTGACGAGGAGGAGGAACCCGCCCCGGCCGCAGCTCCTGTATCAGCAGAGCCTAAGCCCGCGGCGTCGATCTCGATGCCCCCGCCTTCATCAACATCCTTTAGCAGAGTGAAGAAGTCCAAGAAAAGCGGCAATCTTTTGGGTATCAAAAAGAAGCCCTCACTGGTATAAGATCTCGGAATACCTGATTTATTGGCGCCGGCGCTGGAAACCTGGGAAGCAACTTGAATAGCTTTATTTCCATTAGTATCCCACTTCAAGAATTTACGAATTAACTACATCATAAATACACCTTAACTACAGTACACACATGACCAATTACTCCAAAAAATTGAATGGTTCAGAATACATTAAGAAGCTATTCTTCCAGATAAGAAAACAAATAACAGAAGTCATACAAGAAGATGTAAAACGGTATCATCAAGATCACCCTATAAGAGGGATCATCACCAATGCGCCACGCTCAAAAGCAAGTAAATAGCCATAGTTACCACCCATGCGGCAGCCAGCAAAGTAATAGCAACAAATCAACAACCAGTAGCAAGAAGAACCAGTAGCAAGAAGGCACCACCTGAATGCTGAACAAGAAATCATACAAAAATCAAGCAGAAAGCAACCAAATCTCTCTTTCCACTAGAGATATGGCATCCACAAAGCATCGCAAGAGGCCAGGTGCTGGGGGTTGACAGCCCGGGAGATCAAATCGATCGTTGTCTGGTTGGCGGGCAAGTTACCCTCTGGCGGGCTGGCCAAGCTGACGGCGCGGTTGACGATGATCTCGCTGTTGTTGTAGACCAGATCACGCAACTGTGGCACAGCCAACTGACCGCGGTGCTGGGCAGTAGCCCAGAACATCATCTCATCACGCACGAATACGCTCAGTTGTTGCTCGAGCTCGTGGCGTGGTTCCGTCAAACAGCGCGCGATGGCCATCATGGCACAGGCAAACAGACCCTCCGTGGCAATGGGGCCCAGCAGAGTCTGGATGTTGGGCGTGAATCGAAAGGGGACCTGCTCTGGGTTGAAGAATATGGCCTTCGCCGGGTTGATTGTTGGGATCAACTCGGCTCCCCAGATATCACCTGTGGACCGCGACACCAAAATCTTGTTGGGGTAACGGTTGCCAATGTGCATCACATAAGTCATGAAAGCAACCGCGGCGTACTGGTAGGCAAACTGTCGTCTGAAGAGCCAGAAATCGGCAAAGTTGGGATACGTTTGCTGGAAGTACTCTAGCACCACATTGCTAGGAACCCACTTATCTTGAATGGCAGTCAAGATCTCAGTACGAAGCACCTGCTGTTGATCAGCCGTGCGCTGTCGGGAGCTGTCAGTAATGTGTGGTAGGGGTGACTCGATCGCAGAAGAACTTACATTTTGCTTTGTTTCTGCCAAAGATCGCATGCGATCCATTGTGAAGAGCACCGGCTCATCCTTGTTGATACCAACCCGTCTGCTGTAGTCCTCGTAGATACCTTGCATAGAGATGTATGATGAATCGTCGCGAACCAGGCGGATGTGAGGGGCCAGAGGCACCATCAGCGGCAGGTGGAAGTAAAGATTGCGACGTCGGCTCTCTTTGCGCTTCGCCAACAGCCCGTTGAAAATACGGAACAGTTGAAGAATACGCTCCTCACGACGGCAGTGTCGTGCGGCAGGGTGCTGCACAGCGAAAGCGTGGATACTACCATCGTGGCCACGAATCTTGAGACGGCGGTGGCAGACTCCAATGCCGCGAACCAGATCCACATCGGGCAGGAAACGATCAATGCGAACAAAGTCCTGGTTCTTGTCCTTGTGCAGTAGATACTGTCCAGGAATCTCAACTTCGTCGAACTTGAGAAATCTAAACTCGCTCAGGTGCGGAGAGTAGCCCTCAAGGGATCCGTGCTGGGCTCGACGATCCAGCTTCTCCTCAAACTTATCACGCCAGCGACGAAGCTTTTGGATGTACTCGTACATCGTGGGTTTCTTAGTGACAAAGTCCGCCTCGAAAGATTTGCGGATGTGTGCCGGGAGAATTGTTTCTGCGAACCTGGTGATGTTGGCTTCTGTGGCTGGGGGAAGCTTGGTATCCTGAGCGTAAGACTGGGGCATACGACCCACGTAGGCCAGACCATCATTCAAGAGAGCAACGATAAGCCTGTAAGCATCCTCATCGGGAGGACACTTGAAGTTCTTGTGGATCTGGTCGACCATCGTCTCCATAGAAAGAGCAAGCAACGGGAAGGCGGTCTTGAGGCCGGACATGATTTCGTCCGAGTATTCCCATGGCTTCTTGAGCGGCTCCTTCTCTGTTGACTCCGCGGAAGCTGCTTGGTTTGGCTGCTGCTGGGCTCCCTGACCTGGAACCTGAAGATGGCCTTGCTGACCTGGGGTCTGTCCTGGGTTCTGCGGGACGGGTGTTTGGCCAGCTTGACCTTGGCTGGGGCTTTGGGCTTGTCCTTGAAGGGGCGAAGCTTGCACCTGGGGTTGAGCAGGGGACTGGCTGGGAGCTTGCTGGTTCTGATTCTGCGCAGGGGACTGAGTTGTCGGCAAGTTGCTATTTTGCCCAGCCGGGGAGGCGCTGGGAGGCACGCTAGTCGGAGGCTTCTGGGCTGGAGAAGCTTCGCCGGTAGCAGGAGGCTTGGTACTGGGTGAGGAGCTAGCCTGTTGCTGCTGTCTGGCACGATTCAATTTCTCCTGCTTCTGGTCATGCTGCTTTTTGATGCTAAGCATGTCCTCCCGGTTCGTACGGAGGAGGAAGAAGAGAGCCTGCGGGAACAACTTGGCGATCTTGACTAAAACAGCCTTGCAAAGACGAGCCTCGCGATGAGACAGGCTGGTGAGGAGCTGAGGGATGAAGGTAATCCAGTACCAGACAGGGGTATCGCCCTTGAAGTTTTCGAAGGCACTGGCGATCTGACCCTCCTCGTTGTCCAAACTGAGGAGCCATAAGATACGGCTCAGCAGCTTGCGGGACTTCGCGCTCTTTATATAGACCAGCAGCTTCCAAGTAGCAGCTGACTGCGTTGCTAGCCAGCTCATAATCGGAGGAGTCTGCCTTGAATCGCTGGTCACTGTATTGTCCCCACTCAGACCAGGCCTTCGCAAGACGGAGATCATAGTAGAGAGCGACACCAAATGCTTCGTTCGCCTCGTTGACATGATCAAGCTTGGCCAAAAACATTCCCTTCAGAGTGTAGAACTCGGCCTTTTGCTGGGGGCCGAAGTAGTTGAGGTTGGTATTGTTGATCACATCCAAGCCGCTGTTGAGCTCCTTAGGGTTTTGGTAGTGACACTTGGCTTGTTCGCGCAGCTTGAGGAATGCCTCCTGGATTTCGATGTTCGGCAGGGTATAGATGCGGCTCAACTGGTTGATGCAGACCTCGGGCATTTGATGCTTGCGTGCGACGTGAGCGAAGCGATTAATGATCCAGGCCGTCTCGTGATAACCACGGTAGGCGTAGGAGTTGCTAGCCACGTTGTTGGTCTGCGGTGGAAGTAAGCTGAGATAGGTACCGTTGATAAGCTGGAAGATATGCTGGCGCCAGGTAACAAGGTCCTGCCAGGTATTGATATCATCCCAGAGATTCGGCAGACGATCCCGCCATGTTCCAAGGAGAAGCTTCAGTTCGGCTGACTTGGTATCGAGATTGCGCTCATTGGTCTGAGCCAAGCTACCGCAGATGTGGCTGGCATCGTGCAATTCAACCAACAACTGGAAATGTTGCAAGATGGGAATGTGAGCGTTGGTGATACGCTTCGGCAATTGAAGCCATTTGCGGATGGAGAGTTGAATCGACTCGTCACAGACGCTATTGAAGTCCTGCATATTCTCCTTCTTGATATGGTATTGTAGCAAAGCCATGAATGCCTGGAAGAAGGTGCGCCTGGGGGTCGGAGCATCTGATACAGACTTGATAAGAGACTCCAATTGCTCTCTGTTGCCTTCGCTCTGCCAGTTCTCAATGTTGCGCCAAGCAGACTCAAGAAGAAGATCGTTCAAGTTCTCATGCTTAGCAAAGTCACTCAAGATCTCCCATTGCTGAAGCTTCTGGGCGCAAATAAGCCAATGGTCTTCCCAAACAAAGTATTCACCCTGCGAGAATGGCATGGCTCCAGAGCGGGCCTTGATCTGTGCATTTTCATATAGCTGCTGCGACTTGTCCCACATGCCCTGTTGCTCATAGGACAGAGCCGCATTGGTTTCAACGAATCGGCAGCGGCGTCGCCATGTACCATAGAAGAAATCGTCTTCCTGGAGACCAGCATAGACTTCGACCAAAGCATCAAGGTTGCTTTCACGGACAGTGGAGGTGTCGATGATGGGATTGATGGCACTTTCCTCGAGGTATGTGGCAGCGACATACCAGGCATCGTAGGTACGGCTGAGGTATTTCATAACGTGAGGAGGAAACTTGAAACGAGGTCGAGCCCGTACAACACCCTCGAGGAGGGCTTGAACGACATTTGGTCGTTTGTCCAACTGTCTCTGGTGGTACTCTCGGGTGAGCAATGTGACCATTCCCTTTTCGAGGTCAATGCGATCTTCCTTTGACAAAGTTGACCAGAAAATCGGGAACAGTGTGGTCCAGAGCTTGTACGAAACATTAGAGTCGGTGTGTTGAAGCTGGCAGAGAGGTTCGATCAAGTCTCGAACTCGAACGTCGCCGATATCAGACATGAAGCGCTTGCGCTCCACGACAAAGTTCTCCAGCTTATTGTCGACCATGATGTCTGGTTTTCTTTCATCCTTGTCACCACCCGCAAAGAGGAATGATAGCGGCGATAGCGTAAAATCGTCGGAGTGAAGACGGGCAGTTGTATTCATGTCCACGCATCCGAGAATCAGATGCGATGCCTGGGCCAGCCAGAAGGAATCGGCAAGGGTATCCCAGTTTTGGCAGGTAAGAACATAGCTCAAACGCGAGCTAGCAAGGCGCGTCAAACTCTTATCAAATATACCCATGAATCGATTACGCATCTCAACATCTTGAGCTCTTGTGCCAATCAAGAAAGCGTGCTCGAGGCGAACAGTCAACTCAGTGCGAGTGATCTTTTGATCCTCATAGATGCGAATCACCAAGTCAAGGAACTTCTTCAGCATCGTTTGGTCGGGTCTGGATTCGAATAGCAGCATCTTGTGAAGAACTGCTGTCTTTTCCTTCAGAGTGGGCCAAGACTCTGTTGAGTGGAAAATCCAGGACTCGGCCATGCCCAGAACCTTGCTGCAAAGCTTGATATTCTGCGAACGCTCCACTATCGAAGCCAGAACACTTAGGAACGGACGACGCTGGTCGCCAAGGTGGGACATTCGGACTGAGATCAATTCAATTGTTTTGAAAATGAGATCGACACCCAATTCGGCTTCTTGTTGATCTGGGACCCCTTCGGCTGGTTTAGGCGCTTGTCCATTCGGGGGAGTTTGCCCATTCTGTCCATTCTGCGCACCGCTCTGCGCACCGCTCTGCGCAGCATTCTGGGTGGTAGAAGCTGCAACATGGTCCTTGGCCAACTTCTGGGAGAACGCCTTCATGACAGCAGGGATATGCGTATCGATCTCGGCAGGCTTGATCTTCGATAGCGTCCAGAGTGTGTTCAGACTCGACACGTAGTTGCTTGCTGAGAGGGTCTCGGTGGCGATTGCGGACAAGTAGCTTCCGAATTCTGAAGGTGTGCTTTCGGTATCCATGGCATCCTCTTCGTCAGGTTGGTCATCCGGAATAGCCTCGAGAACATAGCGCACCGGAGGTGGCAACTTGGGAGAAATATCCATATCATCCTCCAGGCCATGCAAACAATCTTGGATTTCAGGATTATCAGACTTCAATGGCTTCTCGAGGAGCTTCTGAATGCTTGGGAGACGAGCCGTGATCCACTCGTTAGGCTTCGCTGCGATGAGTACGCGCAAGACCTGCAGGGCGTTGACCATGACAGTGATGTGCTTGTCATCAGGCTTGTCTGCTTTTTCCCCGGTCAGAATTGGCTCGGTCACCTTCTGGTAGAGATCGATGTCAAGGTCTCCCCAGTACTTGGGGGAGAGGAGATTCCTGAGAAGACTGATGGCCTTGTTGATCATGTCACCGGTGGGTACTGGCATGACTGGCTTTGACGAAGGCAGCGTGCGGATGTGGGCAGCTGGTACCTGGAAGCGCTCAGGGATGGTAGTAATGAAGGTGATAAGATACTTGATAAGAGCCCCGCGAAGCTCAGCTGGCACCGTGTAATCAATCTTGGTCGCAGGAGGTCCTAGAGATGGTGACTGGGAGGCTCCATCGGCCTCTTCAAGCTTGCGCTTCTTCGTGTTCGGTGATTCGGTAACACCATTGGGTACAGTTGCATGGGTCTCCGCCGATTGAGCGGTCCTCTCTTCCCAGTGCCAGATCAAGCCAATAAGATTCAGTGCGAGCTTTTTGCTGTCATTTGAGGTATTTGGCGGGCCCGCAATCTTGATCAACGAGGGAACGATGAGAGGGATGAAATGCTCGCGCGACTCATAGAACAAATCAGGTTGCCGAACCAAGAACTGGAAAATGCTCATTACCTGTTGCAGGTTGGCAGTCTCCTCTGACAGAATGCGGCGGGGCCATTTAGCCCAGATAGGATATCGAGCCTCTGCGCCTTGATTGCTGGCAGTGCGTGTTGGAAGGACCGGAGCCAGGACATCGAGAGCCTGGGTGACAAGGGCCCGGCCCTCATTCTGATGGGCTCGGAGCAGAGCGACGTAAACTTGGATCACTATCTTGTAGGGTGTCTCGTAATGCGCTATGAAATAGCTGATGAGGACGTATGCACCGTACTTATTGATGATGTCTTCAAGACGAATGTAATTCCAGGCGAATTTGATGATGTCCTTGCGGGACTCTTGGACGGTCTGCGAGTGATATTTAATCAACAAGGCAGACAGTTGAAGCAACTCCATGCGCGAATGGTCAACGCCAGCCTGGCTTGATTCGTCACAAACATCAGACAATTGTGGCTTCCACAGGCGGCTTTGAATCGATTCAGTCATGCTCTTGTCCATCAACCTGGGGGCACTGGCTGGGCTGTTCCACGAAGCTTGGACATCCATCGCGAAAATTGGATTGACAAGGTGGCGGAAGGCATAGGTCTTGGTCTTCTGGGAGCAGGCCCGTTGACCGTATAGGTCAAGGCAGCGCATGATGACCGAGCGACGGTAGTCAATCGACTCGTTGGTGATGATATGGCGAAAGATGAATTTAGGAAGTGCCAGTGTACGCTTAAGTTCGTCCGCGGAAAGACCGTCAATGACTTCGAACAGGAAATCCAAGTCATGGGAAGCTTCTCCAAGGTAGACTGTGAAGACATCCATCAACTGATCTTCGGCCTGTTCGACTCTCAGGCGCTCATCGGGAGGCAAGCTATCACCCCGAAGTTTCCGCTCCAGCTCTCTCCCATAGGTCAACAGCTTGGACCTTAGATCGGCGTTTGAAACCAGCCAATTCTTGGTAGAGGGATATAAAGAAACGGAATGCGCAACATAGATACCATTGATGGCAGCGGTGTTTTTGCCATCAGTTGCCTCGGGTGCAAAAGCATTTGAGGTGAATCCGTCAGTGTCAGTGACGACCGCATTGCGCAGACTCTCACTCTCCGGGTCCGCCAAGATTTGTCCGAAGAAACGTCCGAAGCGCTCGTCCTTGAACCGTGCAAAGAAGAAGGCAAGACTCTCCTTCGGGTAGCGGTTGAGATACTTGACAAGGGGTTTGCGGAAGGGACTATGTGAGGTCCGTCGCAGCTTTTGCTCAAGATCAAGTACCTTGTTGACCAGATGTTCCATGAAAGATGTGGCGGCGGGTGGGAGGAGGTGGAAGATATTAAAGATCGCGGCCACAATCTTCATGGCAGGGTTCTGTTCAACGAGGCTGAAAGAGACCTTCTGGAGCACACCATCGTCTGCAATGACCTTCATATGGTCCAAGAGACGAGCACCAATCTCCACCTTGAAGTAATTGGTCAGAAGAGTCAAAAGACGAGCGAGTCCGTCAAGTCCAGCAACACTTAGACGTTTCGGATCCTGAAGATTCATGAGAATAGGACGCAGGCCGTTCTGCAGCAAGTCCTTTGGCAGTTTGTTGGTCTGAGTAAGGACATCCTTAAGACCGGCATTAGCGGCTTCGATGACTTCAGGGGAGCGAGAGTATAGCGACTTGAAGAAGACAGAGATAATGCGTGCGCGACTGGTATTGTTCGGAGTGTTGGCAAACTCCTGGAAAGTCATGGCCATGGACAAAAGACGCAGGCAAGCGACACGTAGGTTCACGATCATCTCGGCATTCTTGAACTCATTTGGCTTTGAAGCTAGCGACTCATCATCGGCATCGGCAAGTGCGAGAGATTCCAGCATCAATCGATTGAGGGGTTCATTAAACGTCACGATTTCGTTGTGCAGGCTCAAGCAATAGGTGATGGCATCGATAAAGCCAATCTGCGTGGGAAAAGGCAGGGCACGGAGAGGCTTGTTGAAAATCGACTGCAGGAGACGGTCCCTGACCGGGTGGATAAGCTCATGGACCTCGCAGCCCAATTCTTCTGCGAGAGTGGCGAAGCAACGACGACAGGTCTCGCGAACATGCTTGTTCATGTGACCAAGCTCAAACACGAAGAACCCACAGAGAGCAACAACGCGGCTCTTCTCGTTCTTAACATCGTCTTTAGGAATGAGCTTGCCACCCCGTTGAAGGATCAAGGTCAAGGTATCCTGGGATTGAATGCGTGTAGCGGCAGGGAGATCGGGGGGTGTATCCTTGATCACATAAATAAGGGCGCGAGCGAAGTCGATGTGGCGCTCATAGAGCCAGGAATCACCGAGATCTAACTTGGTGGCCAGTAGTTGGATACCTAAGCTTCCACCAGCTTTGGTAAACCACTCCTCGCTAAAGCAGCTGTGGCAGAACACACGACCTAAGTGCTGAAAGAACGGAAGCTTGGCTGCTTTCTCAGAGGAACCAAATATAATGACCGCCGCTTCCTTGACAACCACCAAAGCCTGTTCAGCAGCTTCTCGAACGTGAACATTGTCCGATGAGAGCGTCTCAACAATAGCTTCAGCGAGAACCCGTGAGTCGAGGTAAACAGGGCCCTCTCCGTTAGCTACGTCGAAGGACTTGCGGCTGTGGCGGGCTTGGGAAAGAGCACGGCCAACCTCCAGGACTGTAATGTGCTTGCAAACATCGGCCACAAAAGCCTTTGCAGATATCTCGAGCTCTGGAATGGTTGTGGCAAAGATGCAAGCCTTGATGAGCTTCTTCACAGTGGCTTCCTGCGCCACTTTCTTTGGAATGGAAGCTGACCGCTCCGATTTCTCGAGAATGTCAACCATAGCATTAACCTTGCCATCCACAAGATCATTGGCATGAAGTCTGATGAGGGATGCCAAGTCATCAGGCAGATTTTCAAATCCGATTTGAAGCTTAAGGTGTGAACTGAGCATGCGGTAGGCTTGTTGCTTGTAGTAAATGTCGGAGCCCTTGGACGAGGTGGATTTCGGGGCTTCCATCAGTTTGCCAATGGCCAGATCAATGCCGGTATCCACAGGGAAGGGACGCTTCTCCCCTGGGCCAATTAGCCGGATATCAAAGCTGGGATTATCATCGGAGTATTGCTGGAAGTTCAACTCTGGTGGATGGTTCAAGAACTTGCGGTTGCGACCGCCAAGCTTTCCAAGTATTCTCATTGTGGTGTGGGCGTGGAAGTGGTTATAAGGATGAGGGCGGAGGTGGTCCCAGAGCGCGGTCATCAGCTCATCCATGATCGGGGCCATGATCGGATCGAGATAGTCGGCGGTCAAATTGTCCACGCAAAGTTCAAGCGTGCGGAGACCTTGACCAACAAGATCTGAATCAGCACGCAAGGCGACAACAATGGGGCGCATGAGGTAGCTGAGATGAGGTAAAAGATGGCTCAGCCGGGCAGGTACGGTCAAAGTGAGCTCAACATAAAGATCACGCTCTTGGGGTTTGCGAGCGGCGAGTAGAAGATTGTTGAAGGTCTCGAGGAGCATCTCAAGCAAGGGTAGGATTTCCTTGTATAGAAGCTCGAATCGGCCACCGCCAATGCTGCGGAAGAGAGAGCGCAGAAGGAGGAAGTAGTTCATAGGCTCCTCGGCAGTAACTGATAACTCAATACACTTGGTGACAATCTTTGTGACATGTGGGTGGAGAACTTGCTCATTCTGCACAGAAAATAACGTCACGGCCATGAAGGAGAGTTTGAACATTCTTAAAAGAATCTTCGCTTTGGTCATGTCTGACGTTCCAACCTCATGAATGCGTTCCATAAGATACTGGAGTACCATCCCGGAGAAGGCTGGTGAGGTGGCTTCGCTGGCAAGGAAGAATTGTGGGAGGTGGAGGAGCGCGCCATGCTCGAACATGAGCTCGTGGAGATAGGGAATTTCAGAGTGGAAGACTTCGTGAAAGGTTGCTGTGTCGATGCAATGGAAGACAGTACCGAAGCTCTCCAGGAGTTCCTTCTCTTCACGGGACATGGGTGCCGTATATTGACTAGCGAGGAAATCGAATGGTGAGGAGTAGTTGACTTCCGGTGGAGATTGATCCACGCCGTAATAGCGGAAGACACGAGCACCCTCGTGGAAGAGTTTCTTGATAACATGAACCTCTTCGGCATTGTAACCATAAGACACCTCAGACCAGTTAATAGGAACGCTGTTTGGATCGATCTGGATATCATCCGGGTTGCAATTCTTAAGCTGGTGGAAGATGTTCTTGAGCCCATTGATGAGGTTCCTGAAGAGGAAGATATTATCCGAAACGGGGTCACTACCACGGTCACGCGGGCTAGAAGTCTTGATTGGCGAAGCAGAGAAGATGTCTATTTCGTCCCAGTCAGGAGGATGGTCCTTCTCAGCAAGGTATGAGTCGTTTGAGGGCTCGGTCTCTTCCGAGATTCCTTGAAGGCCTTAGAAACCTTGACAGCGTTGTTAAATTGATGGTTCATCGAGGCGAATTTGTCACCGATGGCATCCAGTATCATGATCAGGAAATAGCGAGCCTCTCGCTTATCCTCAAGCTTAGATATCTTCTCTGCCATGTTCAATAGCAGCTTGGCACTCATCGTTTGGAAACTGGTACCGGGAAAATCGTCATGGAGGTTTTTGGTATATACCTCGACAGTTCGACGGATCTGATCGCGACTGAGATGGTCACGAACATGGTGGATGAGATCGGCTAGCATGCTATACGCTAAAGGCCTCATGGTCTCATATACTGTCAGGCCGTCGCCAATCAATGTTCGCTCGTCCAGAAGTTCATCAATTTTCTCCAGGAAGATCTTCCGATAATTGAAATTGATAATGTGTCGGATCGCGACAAGGAGCTCCTTTCGAGCGCCAGATTTTTCACGTGGGCAGTCCTGAAGAAGCCGAACAACCACAGACGGGAGAGTAGGAAGGAAATCTTGAAGTTGGTGGGCATAGAGGCGAAGGAGGTAGGCCAGGAAGCTCATGGTCTTAACCTGAGCTGTAATAAACTCCCCAAATGCAGCTCTGTTCTTGATCTCCTTGCAAACGCCAGTGAATATTGTGCCTTGAGCTGCAGCATCGGCATGCGCCTTCTCCTGCGGCTTCGCCTGCAGAAGCAAGATCGTCTTAATGAGGGGTACGAAAAGTTTGACGTTCTGTGCGACTGAAGCGCGATGAGTCTGGAAGATCGAAACGACGATGATAGGGCATTCAGCAAGTACTTTGAACGACTGCATCCCCTTCAAGAGAACATTGCTGGATTGTTGCTCAGGGCCCAAGTCTGAAACTGATGTGGCAGGCGAGCTTGGTCGAGGTGATTGAAAGTTCTGTGAACTGGCATTCGGAGTCGAAGGCATCCCGGAAGGGGTCGCTTGGTTCGGGGTGTCGAAGGTATCTCGGACGACCTGCTCCATGGTCTGGAACATTTCTTGAATTAGCTCTAGGAAAGGCTGCACCCGTGCCGCGGTGGCCTTTGCTTGGTTCCTTTCCAGATCCATGATGGTCTTCATGCACAGAACTGCATTATCCTCATTCTCGATGCGCGCGAGTTCCATCAACAAATCAACCATATCCGCGGCGTATGGTTCGACATCGGGAGGGGCCATTGGTAATCGGTGGATCGTTTCGAGAATACAGTTTCGAAGTTTCTAGATGGCATTAGATACCTCGAGGTCCAGATCTTGAAGATGGGAGACGGGAAGTGATCATAATTTCGAATCCCGTCGGCTTGTCGATCTCACCTGCTCATAAGACATGCTCAAGAAGACCGGATCCCCCTTCAGGATAGCCTTGAAGACTGGCCAAAGCTTGGCCAGAAAGACGGGATAGTTTGCGCCCGCGCATAATGGTTCAATACTGTCCCGCAACTCGGTTGCGACATTTGCTCGTACTTTGATGTCTATAAAAATGGAGATCAATCAGCACTGAACAGAAATTCATGATATTTGATCGGTCGCTTTCAACCATACCAAGCTTCTCATCCCCCAGCTTGTTGAAGTAGATATCGATCGTGCGCTCCATCGCTGCCGCTGGTCAGGCCCCTCAAAGGGCCGATCAAGGGAAGACGACTACAATCACGGCCAGGCCCAGTGGCCGGCTGCTAGGGCAATAACCAGCCTCGCGCAAAGATTGTAGGGTCAAAATCGGGGTCGCATGTGCTAGGTCGAGGTGTGGTCGAAGCTCTGCGGACTTGGCTGCAATTGCCGAAAGGATCGATCGCGGATAGGAAAGCGAGGTAGGAATTCGTTAAGTCATTTAATGGCTGTCAATATCAGTCCGAAAGAATGAAGGTGGACGGTAGTGAGTGGAATTGAAGAGCCCCAGCGGGGTGGAGGGTGTGGAGGGAGCTAGAGAAAGTAGGGTTGGAGATTGAAGCGCGCGAGACCTGGCCCATCCAGAAAGCCTTCGCGAAGGAACGCGGAGGGTGGGCGGCCAGCGTCGCTGAATTCGCTTATGTAAGGTGGTGCTAGTCCGCTTTCAGGGGGGTCTCGGACGGTGTTGATCCGCTCCGGGCACGCGCGCTTGCCAAGCGACTAGACGCGCGGGAGCAGGGCCAGGGACACAGGAACAGGCACAGGGACAGGCACAGTCCAAAACCCACGGGCGTAGATATTAGTATACAACCTTGAAAGATACTGGTAGAATGACTGTGACCAGTAATCAAAAATTTTGGGCATCTGATACCACTAGTATTGAATGATTATCTACATGCTGCAAGCCCTAATGGACCCATAAGGCATCTAGTAGCTGTCACAACTACGTACTAGTAGGACAGAAATACAACAACATGGATCGGGGCTGAAAATTAAAAGACAAGAGAAAATTTCCCAAGGCGAGTTCATGTCTCAGTACTTGTCTAAAAGAAAAAAAAATCTGGCAACACATAGAAAGCCACCGACACCGACGGTCGGTAGATGGAAACGCCATTCGCACCCATTTTCCATACCCGAACACGGTTCTAAGACGGAGTCCAACTCAGAGATCCGCTCAGTGAGCACCGGCTCAAAACGAGCCGGTCACAGAAAGGGAAATATCAGAAAATCCATGTACACACAAAAGATGAAAGGGGGAGGTAGGGGGAAAGAAAGAGAGGGGAAAATGGGAAAAGGAAAAAGCAGGATGGCACAGGAAATCGGGAACCTTGGAAAGCTAAAAAGGGGATCACACAATTCGGGCAGGTCGAAAGTTCAAGAAGAAAAGAGACGTTTGTTGCAGGCCCGTATTCGCTATGCCATGATTGCAGAAAATCAAGGGGAAGGTCACATGTCCATTAGCTGCCCCGTCACCTCGTGGAGGGGCCATTATTTGGTCGAATTGCTTCGATGCAGGATCTGTACATTGGTTGCGCTGGTACCGCTGCCGACCGAGCGTCGTCGCGGGCGAATCTCACTGCCGCTGCCGCTTCGTCGTCTCCGGGTACCGCGAATGGAGCCACGGCGTCGAGTCTGGAGCAAAACGGACGTTTCCACGTTAGAATCACGCTGGCTGCACATGGAGGGAGGGTTTCTTAGTAAAACACGAATACAAGGGATGACGGCGTTGAGGAGGGATAAAAAGAGTAAAGAAAAGGATCCGCATGGGAATGCACGGATCTGAGCAGTCTCGAAAGTAAAAATCAGAGATGCACCGAACTCACCGACGTAGGGGTTCCCTCTCGCGCAGGGCGCTCCTTTGGCGCTTCTGTTTCCTCCTGGATCTTAAGGGTGTTCAGCCGCTTCTGGCTCTCGTGAGTCATTGCTTCCACCTCATCGATCGGCTCGGGCACATCGAGAGCTGGAGCAGGCGGAGGTGGTGCGCCGTTCTTCCGCATGGTCGCTTGTTGTTCGATCAGATCCCAGCGGTCCAGGCGCGACTTCTCTCGCTGCTCGGCGTTGTTCTGGTGTTCTGTGTACTCATGCGAGCACTCGTCGAAAAGCTGCGGGTTGATCTCCATGAACATTTTCATGGCGTTGTATACCATGCTGTGGATAGTACTGGTGTAAATTTAAGGTCAGTAACGAGGTTCATAGAGTAAGTTATCACCGATGATAGACAAACCGGTTCCAGTGGCCCTTGGAGTTCTCGTAGAGCGGGGCGAACATAATGGGAAGAATGGTTTCCACATTGTCGCTTACGAGGTTGCAGAAATATTCGTTGTTCCAGAAATATAAAGCACGCTCGGCGACCTAGTAAGTGGAAAGGGGTATTAGTATGCAACGCAAGCTGTGAGCTATCGGTTATACTAACCTGGAAGTGGGGGCTGGCCACAGACTTGGCCAGCTGGTTGAATAGAGGCTCTTGTACTTTAGCGAACTCAGCAGGATCCATAACTTCAAAAATGTCTTCGACTTCGTTGAGGTACATAACCTCCTTGGTGCTGTTGGTCTTTGGCCAGTAGCGTAAAAGTCCAAGAACGACCTAGATACAGATGTTAGTGATATTCGGCGTTTGACCAGGTGTGTTTGTCACATACATCTTCAGTCAGGGTCGAATCCTTCTCCAAAAACTGGACGATACAATAGGCCAGTTGGGGGTGATACATGCTCAAGCTCTTCACCTTGTGCATGGGGAGTAGAACGCGAGTCAAGAAGAGCTTATGTTCCTCCTTGAGAGGCAGGGCAAAGCCGTTGATGATGGAACCCAGAATCTCCAAAAGCTCAGCGATTCCGTTGTGTCTTTCGGTCTCGTACATGAACTGGAAGAAAACGTTGTTGATTGAGCGTCGGATGTAGGACCGCAGGTTCAAGAATTTTCCATAAATACGGTGCAGGGTAGTCTTCAGGAAATCACGTTCCCGAGGGTCCTCTGAATCGAATAGATCCAGCAGCTATAAAAACCGTTAGCCGTTTCATGACTTAGCATGCCAAGATGGGACTAGATCGAGTTCATACCTGAAGCACAAATTGATGATCGATGTACGCCTTGGCGATATTCGTATTGAAATCTTGGCTTTCAATAAAGCGCAAGAAGAACTCATAAACAACTTGGATATGAGGCCATGCCACTTCCAACACGGGCTCATCCTCCTCCGGGTCAAACGCCTCGCCCTGAGGGGTCATGGGAGGCGGGATCGGTCGAAACAGGTTCTTGGCGAACATTTCCACCACTCGAGGGTACATGGGCTCTGTGATCACGGAACGGTTGTTGGCAACGTAATCTAAGAGCTCGTGAAGAGCCAGTCTTTTGATCTCTTTGGACTTCATGTCGGCTGTCGGGTCGTTGAAATCGAAGATGATGTTGCACTGGTCAATCTTCTGCATGAATAGATCCTGGCGGCGGTTGGGCGGCACTTCGTGGAAACCGGCCAATTTCTCCAGTTCTCTCTGACGTTGGTCAGAAATGTCGAACCGCGAGGAGTGCTGGCGCTTGGGGGTCCTGATTCCTTCCGACATATCCTTCGGAGTGGTCTGGAGGCGGTCGAAAACATGGGACTTGCGAGGAGGCGCCAGGTCTCCGGGCATTGTCTCGGCAGCACCGGGGGGAGGGACGTGCTAGAAGTGGGAGATGCGGTTAGTTCGGGCTACTCAGCATCACAGGTTCAAGGTCTCGACTTACTGTGCTTGGGCTGATGATCACACTTGGGGCCACTGGCTGACCCTGTCTCGTTGGAGTCCCGGGGCCATTGTTTGCAGGTTGGCCCGCATTTCCCGCACCTTGAGATATATAACTTTGAGCGGGTGCACCGGCGCCTCCGGACGGGGTTGTAGCCGGGGAGGAGGCATTGTCTGGGGACTTGCCTCGTGTATCATTCAAGGAGGTTGTAGACGAGGTAGGAGTGCCTTGGTTGGGGGATGTCGACTGTTGTGTTTGGGAGATGCCGAGGGACGCCTGGCCCTGGGACGAGGTGGAATCTTTCTTCTTGGAGGACTTGTTGGCATCCTTTGCCCTCGAACAACTGCTCGTGCTACCCATCCCAAATAACATTAGTGACAAGAAATCGTTGGAGCGGAAGGGTCTGAGGGATTCAAAAACCACCGCTTGCCGAGTGGGGGATGAGGAGGGGGGTTGGAGGAGACGGTGAGCCTTCAGATGGGGACAACACGTACCACTCTCTGTCTGAAACCCTTCATTTTCACGCCGGTATCCAATACCTCATGTAATCCGGTTCGGTGTTCGTTGCAAGTGCAGCCCGGCGCTGCACTTTAGCCAGAGCGACTTGGAGAGCGGCAACTGAGAAGGCCGCTCACAAAAGCCACGAGGGGAGGAGGGGCGGGTTATTTGGATCAGCCTAGCAAGAGAGAATCATGAGTATTTGGAATAAGCGCTGGTAGTAGAATTGCCGGGGAGATTCAGATGTCGAATCTGAGCTATCGACATGCGAACACTCAAAGGGGGCGGGTGAAGTTCCAATGGCAGTGCTAGGTACAGAACACGGGTATGTAGCAGCACGCGCACGGGGCATGAGGCTTCAATGTTGGGGAGAAAGGGACGGCAAGGATGAGGCGACAACGAGAGCGAGCGGTACGTACCTCTCTGGCGTGAAATGGGACAATTGGCGATCGGAGTGCTAAGAAGACTGGCCGAGGAGCGCAGAGGTCGGTCTAGGACGGGGTACTTGATCCGCTCAGAAGGATCTCCGTGTCGCTTAGTGGCAGGCTGGGAGCGGGGGGTTCAAGAGCGTCAGTGCCACCCGATTGCAAGCCACGACCAGAGCCGAATCGAGGGAATGGCAGGTCTAGCAAGAGTCTTGGGGGAAAGGGAAAGGGCAGGGATCTGAATGAGGGATGTTGGCGGGTGGTGAAGGAGAAGGGAGTGGGTGAGGCAAAGCGGGTTCTCCTGTGCTGGCTGTGATGGTGATGGGAGGGGGGTCCAGGACCAATACTTGGGACTACGAACCCGCCAATGCGCATAGAGGAATTTCTACCGTGTTATCACTAGGCGCATCTGCCCTAGGGATCTGCTAGCAAATAGAACAACGGGTCAAATCTACGTGTTTTTCTACCAGTGGATGTCTCTCCATCTATAAAGGCCCCCATCCACAGCTGTCTTGTGTATGCTTTGCCTTCTTTTGTGCTTATGTAATCTGATGGATTGGTCACGTGTTTCTATACTTAGGGAGGTTGGACAACTAGAAGTATAGTACTAGATACTCGGTACTATTTTATAGTGGCAACCTTGGAGCTAGTCAGCTGTATGATGGGCAAGGTTGTAATAGTTGTGGTTGAATGACCTGAGTCGTTAGGGTGCACGTAATTGCCACAGGCTCAAGCTGGGGCTTGGAGATATATACTGCTGTTAGTACTTCAGTACTAGCGAATCTCAATGAGAATTAGAACTGAAGAATACTACTGACCCGTTCCAATGGACAGAATTACCAATAGTACCAATAGTATTCAACCATAATTATACCGTATTATTCACAGCAAATAGGATATATATCAATGATCTTTTGAATTGCAATCCCAATTGTAAGAGATTATATCTCGAACGCCCGTACCCGTGACGCTCTGGGAAATCCTTAGTCATCACATCCGATACGCTTTGTGGAATGCGAACCAGCAGCGTCGCGTTAGGAATTTGAGATATCGAGGTAGGCAGAGCGAGGCAAGTGGACATACACTCCAAATACCTACTCGATACTACCGACTGGACCGCAACTTGGAAACACGAAGCACCCCGTTGCGCCTGCTCTATAGGATCCCTGACTCATCTTTTCATAAGTCGCCCATCCCCCGACTTGCGAGTAATCGTCGTCAAAGACCAAATAGTCCGTTTTCCAGGGTCCCAATATCTACAAGAGACGAACTTGCAACTCTCATAATGGACGGACGCCGTGATTCCAGGACAGCGCCCTTTTATGCAATTCCGCCCCGGCGCCTTGTTAGCGTCGAACACCCTGCCGTTGTCCAAAACCTCGACAAGGCAGTGGATACATTACAGGGCAATGCAGGAATCGACAAAGTGAGAGAACCCACAGAGCTATACATGAATTCCCCATTTATTCCCGTCCACAAGCAAGCCCGATCCCATGCTGATCAGACTAGATCTTGAATCCACCGCTGAAGGCGGCCGATGCGCCAGCCCAGTTGTTTTTGCGGCCGGACGATCCCCTCTCCCGGCCATTGAAGTCAACGAGCACTGCTTCCAATAATGTGCTACTCAAAGTGACCGTCCCTAAGAGGACAGGTCGTAAGCGCAAGAGAGGCTCGAATGAGCCTTTTCAGGATGCCCCGGTGGAGACCATATCGGAATCAGTCCCACGGTCAACAGCAAAGGATCTGATGCGCAGTCTTCGCGATAATGAGTCTAAATACCAGATCAAGCCTGTTGGTAAAGTTGAACGGACTCATGTGTTTCGAGGTACGTTTTGATCATCTTATCTCGTCTACTTGGCCCGGTACCCCGTAGAACTAATATGATTTGACCAGGTATGCCGGATTTCGTGTATTCGACCGTGAACAGCTCTTTCACGAACAAATTTCGTGATACCATCCTACCATATGACTGTAAGCTACCACTTTCGCACCCCGATGATTACAAGGCTAACGGCGCACAGTGGCAAAGCTCAAGCAGTTTGATATCGACATGGGCAAGGGCGCTCTCGAAAATACAGATATTATCCCTCCACCTTCATTCAGCCACGGAGATGTGCCATTCACATACTAGTAAGCGTTGGCCCCGAAATAAAATAAGACATACCACTAACACCACCCCCCCAGCTACCGTCAAAACCCAACAGTCAAGCACGCCGTCGGGCAATCAGGCGACATAACAACAATCAACACCCAACAGCCGTCAAAGATCCGCACATTCCTCGTCCGCTACGACATCCCCATCGTCCCCTCAAAACCCCAAGAAAGCCTAACACCCATCGCAAAACTCGACCCATCGCTCCGCAAAACCGTCGAAGCAATCAAACTTCTCTTCGAAGAACGTCCCGCCTGGACCCGCCGCGCTCTACGAAACCGCCTAGCAACCGACGAACACCGCACAAATCTCCGCTGGGCAGTTCCATACGTTGGATACATTTTCCGCTCGGGACCGTGGCGAGACGCTATAATGAAGTTGGGCGTTGACCCGCGCACCTCACCCGAATTCCGCCACTATCAGACCTTCATGTTTCGGCTTCTCCCTCGTGAACCGGATACGGCGCGTGATGGGGGTAGGAGACATAACATTAGTCGGACTGATTTGGACGAGGATCCGAATTCGCATATCTTTACGGGAAACCTGCCTCTGCCGCTTGACGGGAAGATCTGGATGGTTAGGGACATCGAAGATCCGTTGATTAAATCCGTTTTGTACAAGGAGGATGAGGGCAGCTCTGCGACGACGGATGGGGTGCCCTTTTTGCGGGAGACTTGTGATATTATTAGTGATGGGTGGTTTGGGAATGGAGCATTGGGTAAGGCGAAGACTATTATGCGGGCGAAGATTAGTTCGCTGATTGAGGGCCGAATGCCGGAGGAGGGTGAATTTGAGCGGATTTTGGAGTTTCCGGATCATGCGGAGACGGAGGCGGATCTTGTGAATTTCATGTTTGATTCTGCTACGTCGACTAAGCGGGATGATATGTTGGCAACGGAAGTTAGGGCTGCGATTAAGGGTGCGCCGGTGTGGAGAGAGAGGCTGGAGAAGGAGAAGCTGGATGGGAGGAAGAAGAAGGGGAAAGGGAAGGAGGTGGAGGTTCAACGTGATGAAGAACAGAGTGAAGGAGAGGAGGAAGAGATGGAGCGAGTGGAGATGTTGGAGGAGGAGGTTGCTGCTGCTATTGCGGCGAGGGATGAAGCGGAGGGTGAAGATGATGAAGCCGAAGCCGAAGAGGAGGATGAGGCTATCTAAGATCAACGATTGCTGCTCATAGTGAAATGCTACAATACTACGGTGGAGCTGAATGTGAAATACCAGGCAGTAAATTCATTTCAATCATTGCGCCGAATCTCATAAAGCAGGGTTGCTGTATACATCGTAAAGCAGACATCAGACGTAAGAACTTCTCATTATTAAACGTGGTCAAGACAAAATGATACGCTGTAAAAGAAAGATAACAAAATAATGAAACACCAAGTTGAGGCGAGACGAAACAGGACGAAACAAAAAAGGGTATTCCATAAGTAGTCGAGATAATAGAGGAACAACTCCGTTGCTAACAAGACAAACAATGTAAAGATAAAGGCCAATCCAGGGCCACAGACGCCGAGACCAGAATGCAAATGCGGTTCAATTTTGGGATCGATAGGATGAGGGAAGGAAGATATTAGGGTGATGCTGCTCATGACGATGCGCTCGTTCCAGATGACTGCGCATCATCAGCCGCACTGGAGGGTTCCCAGATCTCGATGGCATCGGGGTCGCTGGTCTTTTCAGTCGTGGTCGTGTTGACAGTGGGGCTGGACATGGCAGTTGCCAGCAGGGAATCGATCGAAGCAGTGATAGCTGGCGGCATGAAAGTCGACTGACTCGGCGGGGCGGAGTAGGCCTTTTTAGATTCCGAGACGTTTTCATCCTCATCGTCATGGACAACGGCAAAGGAGAAGGCATTGCAGTCTTCGGGGTAGTAGTCGGAAGCAGTCAGTTCACCCAGCGGGGCACGATCTTCTTCCATCTTGGAATCCTTGCGTGCAGCTGTGGCGGCAGCCAGGTGAGTGGCCTGCTGGGAGCGGGGAAGATCGAGACCTAGTTCGGAAGGGGGAACGTTTTCCTTGCCGCGGCCATCTGTAATGACGGCCTTGCCCTCCTCGTCGCTGATATCGAGGACACCGGTGGAGTGTTGCATCAGGTTGGTCATTTCCTCTTGCTCCGAGTCGACATGGATGTCAAAGAACCAAGAGGCCGGGGCCTTAGATTGAGGCTTGGGAGTGGATGGTGTCTTGGTCTTGCCCTGGGAGAGGGCGGCTGCAAGGGAGAAAGGGCGAGCGACGCCGCGTTTGGTGGGCTCCGGACGGACCTTGGCGATGGTCGACCGGCGACCAGGTGTCTTGTAGGATTTGGGAGGTGGAGACCGGCCAGCGGGCTTGAGAATAGGAGCAGATTTGGGAGTTGAGTTGGAAGGGCCATTCTTGAATGGGGTTGATAGTCGGGGGGTGAGATGGTCGCGGGTGGTGAGTGCCAGGCGGGAGGTCTTCAGCGGTTGGGGGGAACCCTTGGAGACATCGTCCTCATCGTCCCAGGACCGCTTGCGTTTGGAGGAGAGGCTGAGGGTAGTCGGGTCGATATTCTCGGCATCATCGATGAAGATGGAGCTCTTTGCAGAGAGGGCGGCTCCTGAGATGTATGTTAGATACCGGAAATGGAAGGATATCAACATTGACCAAATCAAGTGGGGTTGGACCTACCATTCAATTGATTCTGACGGTTCAGCTTGGATCGCATCATCGGACGCATTCTGGGTGAGTCCAAGCTAGCAAAGGGCTGGCGAGAGGGAGTCATGGTGAGTGCAGCCATGATGACAATGACAAGCGCGAGGCGAGGCGAGGCGTCGGTATTGGTTTGTTTTGGCGTTGCGGCGCTAAGTGGGGGACGGGGAAGCTCGGGCTTCCCTCTGATAGCAGAGGCTGTGAACCTTTCTCAAGCTGGTAAGAAGTGCTGATCCTGTACGGAGTAGTATTATCAGAGACAATGATAATAGGAAGCCGAAATCAATAAAATGATTAAATCGGGTCGGATGATATAAGTGAAGCCGAAAGGAGAGTGTGCTACACAGGAGAATGGCTGATAGGGTGGCTTCGCTGGATCTCCGAATAGATGGGATGAGAGAGAGTAATTATATCTGGATGATCGGATGGGCACACACACACTTATCCACACACTCTTTCTAGTTTAATGGGGAGGGGAGCAAGGAGAGGGTTGAGGGGCGAGGGGGAAGTATTTCAAGGCATTTCAAGGCCGGGGGGTGCACCGCGATGTATGCAGCGCGCGTCTGGTCGCGTTCTCTGCAAGGCGCCAGACAAAGTGGATTGGACCATGCCAGGCCGTGGGTGGCGTTCGTGCAGAGGTAGACAATCCAATTATGATGGCCATTGCTAATGGTCCCTCGCGTGGAATGTGATCCACTTGTATGTTTAGCAGAACAAGGGACGAGTACTAGTAGTAATGATACTCATTATGCTCATTATACTCCGTACTCCATACCCCGTCTGGAGGTAGGGCAATAGACTCATCACAATATTCTTAGCAAGATTATTCTCCTAGATTATTTTACGACGAACTAGCTGCCCACTGCTACTGAATTAATCTACTAGTCTAGCAAGATCAGCGCGATTAGATCAACCCGATCGACGTGGTTCTCAACGCGTCGTACTAAGTATACCGACGGTTTACCCAGCAGTACAGTACTACGCGATGATACTCAAGGTCTAGAGTAATGGAGTATGGAGTACACGAGCCCACGAGGAGCGCCCCGCTGCGCTGGAGTACCGAATACTTTTGAACGCGCGACACGATGCACGTCTACACGCTCAAAGCTGACCATCGCGTCCAACCCCTCCCTTCTCGCGGCGCTCACCTCATCCCCTGAAACCTGCCAGCACATCCCGCCCCCCATCTCCAATCTCCCGGGTGGTTTGTGGTTTTGGATGATGAGGATGGATGAAACTGCAGATGAACGTGCAGTCTTGTTCCAGGTTCTCCATGGTGAGCGCATCGATGCATCATCCACCGCCGGAATCCCATGGCTGGATATGAGACTGTCTCCCAGCATCCCACCCAAGCGCTGAACATGTAGGTCGCATTTGCCACGGGGTGTCGAAGCCTGTCGTTCAGGACGATCCGATGATCCTGTGGTCTGCCACTCGCGCTCACGTTCGCGTTCGCGCTCGTAGGTTAGGGCTCGGACTTGGTTGCATTCCGGTCCTGCAAGAGGGCAAAAGCCTGCTTCAGCTCCCCCCGACACCTCGGGGTGGATAAGCATGCGACCCCCCTTTTCACTTTAAAACAAATTTGTATTTTTAGATTCTAGTTCAATCGCAAGATTATTTCAAAGTTATGCAGAATTGGCGCCTGGAAGTTCGGTTTACTTTCGCGGCGTTGTCCGTTCTTCGGAGATCTCTATGAAATTCCTTCACTGGAACGGTTGAGTTTTCCTGGTTGACAAATTTTTCAATGTTGCTCTCCAAGGTTCTGCGAGGTGGGTTGAGCTTGGAAAACTAGTAGCTACCTGAGATGGAATAGAATGGCCTACCTTTTCCATCAGGTAGCTACCAGTCCGCGATTAGAAGGCGGAGACAAGAACAGTCAACGGTTCTTCTATGTAGCAGAGCTATCCATACCATCTACGCTTGGACATCATGATCACGCTATGGAACACCCTTGAAATTTCCAAACTATTTTTTAAACCATATTCGACTTCTATTACAGGTCAATCTATTAATTAGTATGTTGGTACCAATAGTGATGGCCAATATGGAGGTAATAATTGTCCATAATGGCTTTTGGAGCCCCCCCTTGATACATACCTCAGCCACCGGGCCCAAGATGATCTATTCAATCTTCTAGGAGCAAAGTCACTCCAGGGCGAATTGTCCTACAGAGGCAGGGAAAGGAGAATGTCTCCCTCCTGCCCTGCCACACAAAGTCTTAATTTACCTTAATATCGTGAAGGGTCAACTGGTCCTCTTCACCTTTTCTCCTGGGCGGGAGGGATGGATATCACCTGCATTCTCCACGAGAAAGGACCGAGATTCACCCTGTGGCTGGAGGATACCTACCAAATCTTTAATCTATTTCCGGGAGGTAGAAGTAAGTGATGACGGATCGCCGAGCACCGATCTCCTTTCGGAGGCTATTGCACTTTATCCCAATGATATAATGTTGTACATAACGCCAAAGTCTACCACTCGCAAGCTTTCTCACACTTCATTCTCAAATGGAATGCTATCCATTGCTCCCTGACGCTCAACCGCACGCGCCGAGGCGCGTGCTGCAAACCGCATCGCCTCATCCATGAATTCCTTAAACCGATGCGGCTTCTCAGTATCCGTGACGTCTTGACCCGCCTTACTCTCGACACGACGCTGTTCCCGCCACCGCGCCACCTTGACCGCATATGCTCCGACAAATGTGTCACCCGCCGCCGTCGTATCGAGAACTTGAGATACCGGGGCCGCAGGGAGCTCATTGGTGAAGCGTTGCACGCCATCGCTGGGACCGGTCAACCCGCCATCCATAGAACTGTACCAGACTCCCTTGGACCCAAGCGTAATGAGTAGATAAGTGACGCCCAGCTTGTGGAAATACCGCGCAACCTTCTCCTTGCCATCCAGACCCTCCGCGTCTGGAACAACACGCAACAATTGGTCCATCGGTGGAGTCATAAGTTCTGCCTCTGTCTCATTCAGAATCAGGTGGTCCACCGCTGCGTAAACATCCTCGGGTAGACCTCCTGGTGGTGCAGGTGCAGGATTAAGCATGACGTCGGGTCCGCATTCAATACCGCGCTTGCCAGCAGCTCGGCTCTTGGATTTATATTCGGCAATCTCGCGCAAGATTCCAATCACCGTCTGGACGGGGATCTCTCCCTGCATGACAATCACATCTGGCACTGGTGCCGCCAGAGCAGTTCCCAGCACTTCTGGAATCGGCTGCATGCCGTCGTAGTTTGCGCCGGGGGGAGAATAAGATCCTGTTCTCGCCACCGGCTGATGAGTCGACGATGATGACTGCGACACCGGTGTATGCGTTCTCAATGACTCGTACGCGTGACGGGTCGACGCCGGATTTCTCTAGCGTTGGCTTCAGTAGCGCCGAGAAGTGGCCGTCCAATGCCCCGACGGCCCCGACCATTTCCACGAGGACATCGCTTTGGGTATTCAGGCCTTCGGTGGAAGGTTGGGGTCGTGACATTCGCCCGCAGGCGACGGCTTGGTTGGCGCCTTTTCCGCCGGCGCTGGTGAAGTACGAGGAAGAGGTGATCGTCTCGCCTGGGTCAGGGAAGCGGGGCGTGACGGATACCATGTCGGCATTGAGGGAGCCAATGACGCGGATGAGAGGAGCCATGGCTGTAGTTAGAGGTGTCTGGATCTGGATATAGATCTGGAGCTGTGTTATTGTTGCCTCGTAGCTCGGAGGTGGTTCAAGTCGGCAAGCCGGAGGGATTTGCGGGGTGGTTGTGGAGAGAAGCAGTCAATTGGTGCTCTCCGTGGAAGTGAAGAATATGTATTTAGCTCGAGAGGAAGGAAATGTATTTCCCAGAAAGCAAAACCAAGTCGCTCTTAGTGGGTTTAACGCAGTTGACTATTTTCAAAGACGAGAAGAGTTGTTTAAGTGACGTCGAGAGCGCGGGGCAAAACTGCAATTTAGCCGGACGCGGAGCGGGAGATCCACACGATCCCATTCTAGGACTCTTACTTAGGATAGCTATCTACGACATACAGTAGGATATAAATATGATTATACTAGCAATACCCCGTACGCTACGGCGTTTAGATACTCATTACTCTGAATAGTTAGGATCAAGTCACCCTAGCAGAAACTTGAACACTGCCTCAGGTCGATTTTGGCAGGGCATGGAACGCTGTAGCCATCAATCAATATGGGCACACCGTGTAAAATACCTTTGACAACTGCCCCATTGGTTTTATTTTATACGAGTATATTACAACTTTCATTAGTACTCAGCCCCTCCAGCTCCTTGTCCATAGTTTCTGTCGTGCCGAGTAACGTGTCCTCCTCGTCTAGCGCTAAAATACGAAGATGCATATACAACGTCAGAAAAATAACTGCCAGACGGTTGTAAAGTAGACATATATACCCGATTGCTGGCGAGGGTATCATGCTCGATTTAGTATGCAATTTCACTCCCTAGCCACTTAATTTGTCGAGTGGAGCTGTAACCTTAAAGGAACCCTTCAACCAGAACTCGAATTGGCTTGAGACGAGACTGAGCGAGCCAATCAACGATAGAGAAATTTAAAGGAAATTTTGAAAGAAATTGAAAATTTAATAGTTAGTAGACCCGAGATTCCTGAAACCTCGCTGGCAAATTCATTATCAATTGAGATGCTTATATCGCACATTAAATCAAAGTAGCACGTTGGGTATTACTTTTGTGGCTCCCAAACCTCCATCGTCTAGTCGTCTATTTGGTTCGCTTGTAGATCTTAGCCAGGAAGGCCTCGAAGACCTCCTTCTGCAGGCCCGAGGACTCGTCAACAGCCGCAATCTTGGTGCGGAGCTCTCCAACAACCTTTTCCTCGTACTCCTTGTACAGAGTCTCCAACTGAAGCTCCTCAAAGACCTTCTTGACCTTGGCCTCCTGCTCGGAGTTCTTGCGGCCGTAGTTGTCATCAAGGACCTTGCGCTGCTCAGGTGTGCAGCGAGGGATAGCCTGGTTGACCAACCACGAGCACTTGTTGTCCTGAATATCGGTACCGATCTTGCCAATGAAAGCGGGATCACCGAAGTTGTCAAGGTAGTCGTCCTGGATCTGGAAGTATTGGCCCAGAGGGATCAGGATGTCATGAGCCTGCTTGAGGTTCTCCGGGGTGGCGCGCTGGAGGTAGATCAAGGCCAGAGCGACAGGCAGGTAGAAGCTGTAGTAGGCGGTCTTGTAGGTGACGATGAACATGTACTTCTCCATGGAGAAGTTGTCCAGGTTGACATTGTCCTCGGGGGCGGTGATCAGATCACACAGCTGACCCAGCTCAGTCTGCCATGTGGTCTCGTGGAAGAGCTCGACAATGTCGATGTAGGCGGGGTGGGAACGGAAGCGCTGCTTCAGAACAAGGTAGATGGCCGACTCCAGCATGAAGGCATCGTTGATGGCGATCAAGTTGACACCCTCGTGGCGGTACCAGCAGGGCTGACCACGACGGGTGATGGAGCTATCCATCAGATCATCGCTGACCAGGAAGAAAGCCTGCAGGAGCTCGGTGAGCCAGCCCAGGATGCTCAGGTGCTCGAATTGCTCGTCGGTCAGGGGCTTCTTCAGGAGGGCGAGGCCGGTGTCGGGTACGGACAGACCGCGGTTGAGCTTGCCACCGGGGACATTGACGTTCAGGGACTATGAAAAGATCGAATTAGTTTAAATGCTTCCATTGAATTGAAGTGGCGGTCAGAGAGTAAGGGGGGGGGGGTAATAATTGTCCTACAGTACCTTTTCAAACCACTCCAGGGCGTTGGCGGGGAGGTTGTACCGCTTCGCATGAGCCAGGATGTCCTCGGCCAGCGAAGGGAAGATGGCCTCGAAATCGGCACGCTTGGTAGTGGAAGCCATAGTGAGATTTTATGGGAGGAGAAGGTGGAGAGAGGGAGGAAAGAGTCAGCTAATTGAACTAGCAAACAATTAGACCAATCCGTTCTTCCCCGCGGAGGGGTTCCATTTTGTTTGTTCATTTTGTATTCGACTGGCTGCCTGAGGCAGGAACGGCCTGTCATCTGTGCTGTGCTCTGTACTGACCTTCCACGAACTGCTCTCCATACTTTTACATACACCAGCTCCAAAACTCGAAGATCTTCTTGAGTAGCTCGGCTTAATATTCAAAGCCAGTGCTGGGCCTTTCCTTTGTCCCCCGCGTGATCTGCCCCGCCGATCGCTTGCAGTTCATTCGCCGCGTCAACAACGCGCCGAGCCCGAATAACTATTCATTGCGACTCCAATCTGCGCCAATTACGAGACAACCTCCCCTGTCAATGCTCTGGGTGGTAAAATTCCGGTCGTGAGGAAGCACTGCAGCTTCTACTTTCACTCGCATTTGGATCCCCATACGTGCATACGTGCATGAGCGTCGCGCGCCGTCTATCTTCCAATATTTGCGTACGTCCCGCTGGCCCCCGTAGCCATGGACGTCACAAACGACAATCTACAAGAGCTGAAGTATCGGCTGGAGGATGCTACAATCAAGTGCTCAGAGCGATGTCTTTACCAATCGTCGAAGTGGTATGTGCTTCGCTCTCCGGATCTCGGAAACCAAGCGGGACTAACAACAAATGCGCGAATAGGGCAGCAGAGATGCTTGACTCACTTTCACCAATTGATCACGAAGAGACGGACCCCGAATCTCCGATGGAGATCACAGATCCCATCCCCCCGCCCATCAACCCATACCTACGACCCCAAGACCCCACCGAGGCCGCCCTCGAAATCCAAGAAACTCATAAATACCTCCTCGCGAAATCCTACTTTGACACTCGCGAATATGATCGCTGCGCAGCCGTATTTCTACCACCAAATACCCCTCCGGTTCCGCTCTCCCTGACCTCTCCCAACTCAAAACCAAAACAATCACGACATTCGCTAAAAGGCAAGGACAAGGCGTCCCCATTCCTAGGCTCCAAGGGCCCTGTCGCGCGGAATCCATACCCAAGACTTAGTCAGAAGTCATTGTTTCTTGCGCTTTATGCCAAATATTTAGCCGGGAAAAACGCAAGAATGAAGAGACCGAGATGGTACTTGGTCCAGCAGATGGTGGGATGGCGGTCAACAGAGAACTCCCGGATCTTGCCCGAGGCTTAGAAGGATGGCTGATGGAGCGCAGCTCAAAAGGGCTGGATGATAAAGGACAAGGCTGGTTGGAATATCTCTATGCGGTAATTCTGCTCAAAGGACGGAATGAAGAGTTGGCCAAAAAGTGGTTGCTTCGAAGTGTGCATCAGAACCCATTCCACTGGGGAGCATGGCAAGAGCTTAACGATCTGTTGGCAAGCACCGAGGATGTATGACCTTCCAACCCCTGTAACACTGTGATTCTGGGCACTGACACCTCCAACAGCTGAAACAAATCGTGGACCAGCTGCCTCAAAACATCATGACCCTCATATTCCACGTTTACTGCAGCCAGGAACTATACCAGGCCACGGAAGATACATACCAGGCTCTTTCAGAGCTCGAGTCAATCTTTCCCACCAGTGCATTTTTGAAGACCCAAAGAGCACTCCTTTACTACCACTCCAAAGGTATGTTGTGATAGCGGCCGCCGATAAGCGCCCCACTGACGATGTCCAGATTTCGAGGAAGCGTCAGCTATTTTCACTGATATCTTAGCCACATCGCCCCACCGCTTGGATAGTCTCGACCATTACTCTAACATTTTGTATGTCATGAATGAGCGGCCACGCCTGGCCTTTGTCGCCCAAATCGCTACCGCAACAGACAAATTTCGCCCAGAAACATGCTGCGTCGTGGGTAACTACTACTCTCTCAAATCAGAACATGAGAAGGCCGTTATGTACTTCCGTCGTGCATTAACATTGGACCGAAACTTCCTCTCGGCCTGGACTCTAATGGGCCATGAGTACATCGAGATGAAAAACACCCATACTGCTATTGAATCGTATCGTCGGGCCGTCGATGTGAACCGAAAAGACTATCGTGCCTGGTATGGTTTGGGCCAAGCTTATGAGGTGCTTGACATGTCCTTCTACGCCCTCTTTTACTACCAACGTGCCGCTGCCCTTCGCCCCTACGACCCGAAGATGTGGCAAGCCGTCGGCTCATGCTATGCGAAAATGGGCCGAGTCGAGCAAAGTATCCAGGCACTTAAACGTGCGCTTGTGGCCGGGTCTTACTATGCAGACGACACCGCACCAAGCGCAAGCCCTGGCGCGAGCGCTCGTAAAGTGCTCGACCCCGAAACCCTGCACCAGATCGCGACACTATATGAGCGTCTCGGAGATGAAGAGGAAGCGTCTGCGTATATGGAACTAACTCTCCAACAAGAAACAGGCGGCGCGCCTGTCCAAGATGAGAACTCCGAAGAGGATGAGTATTCGTCTGCTTCGGAGAATGCGGCTCAAAGCGACGGGGAACACTCCGGCGACGATGATGCCGACAATATGCCTCGTTCTCGCCGTCGACAAAAGCCCCGTACATCTTCCTTCGCGATGCAAAACGATGATTCTAATGCGGGAGAGACGTGGCACCAGCCCACGGCCACTACATCCAAGGCGCGGCTCTGGCTGGCTCAGTATGCCTTGCGACACGAGGACTTGGAGCGGGCAGATCAGTTGGCAAGCGAGCTATGTCAGGATGGTATGGAGGTGGAAGAAGCAAAGGCGATCATGCGAGACGTTCGTGCGCGGAGAGAGGAAGCAGGGTAGTCTGGCGAGCCAGGGGTCTCCTGTCATGATAGTATGTTAGCATCTGAGCATGTGGATTCACGAATCCTCTGAGCAGTCATTTGAGCGAGAAATCATTCACTCAGAAAGAGCTTAGCATCTGGTGTACTGAATATCAATATAGAGAGTTGAACACCACCATCGATGCGTGAGCTTCAGAGTGTATACAAGATTGCTTCACCGGTAGCCATCCCTCGAAAGCCTTACCTGCGCATGGAAACAGACAATAGCCAACTTGTTCTTGCTAATGATATCTGACTTCAATCGTCTTGTTCAACCATCGACAACTTGAACGACCAAAACAAGCCCACAAAGGAAAGAGCAAATGATCTATACAGTCCAAACCACTGCGATAATGACGTCAAAAAGTTCCTCTATCTGGGCATGATGGGGGTACATGCTAATTCCTCACCTCTGTGGTCGAGCGGCTTTGCCGCTCGACAAGCAGAAGTTCCCCTCCCCGGGCGTGGGAACCGCAGTCGGCGTTGCAGCCTGTTGCCGACTTGTGGATGAGGCTTCAGGTGGGTGGGCGGTCTGGCAGCCTATGGCTGCTGGGGTATACTTTTTTCTTTTTTCTTTCTTAATCACTAGCCTCTGCATCCTCTTTTCGCATGCATTGTTTTGTTTTCTTGAGGTTGTTGGGGAGATGACGTATTGCCTTTTTAGGAAGGAGGTGAAGTTATCCCCAAAATCTTGGATCCGGTCGACGGCGAGGATGCGCGTTCAAACCCCGCACTGCTGGTTTTCATGTGGTTTCTAGAGAATTGCTTTTTTGAGTCGAATCAAGATGAAAAATTTGGGCGATTTCATTTTTGATATTGGGTTTGTCTCTACTCTATCAAATTGCTGTTGGTGGTGAGGGTGGTGGTCTCGCCCAGTGCTAGGATCTCACTCTCGTCAAAAGTCACTGAGAGTGTAAGCAAGGTATGGCTATTTGAGTTGTCAAAGTGATTCTTGATCATGGAAGAGGTGATGGTATCCACCAGAGTGTCGTCTTTGGAGTCTTCATCTAAGCCCCACCGAAGACAGGCGTAGTAGTACTGACGACTAAGCTCAGACCATGTCTCCCGTATACAAAATGTGAGATCTTCGGGTTGAATATTCTGTTGCAAGATAGCCGAGTCCAAGAAGAAGATCTTGCATCGGGTGGAAAGACAAGATCTTTTGCGCCGAAATATGTCAGATATAGTATTTGCCGCTTGGTGGATTTCTTTGCCGAGTGGGTGGTCACCTGGGTTGACAAGGACGATTCCAAAAGCTATTCCTTGACGGACAGCCCCAGGGTTTGACTTTTCAAGAGAAGCAATTGAATCGGGCGAGTTGAGTGTCTGTATAAACTCATGAAGTCCGGAGTGACACGACGTATTAGCTGTATGCATATCTGAGGGCCAAGACATGTATACTGGGATTGTCGTTAATGGTGATTGTAGGGAGTTGTGAGTGAAGACCGATTCGGCATTTTTGTGTGCTTGGAAAGACCTTTCGGATTGGGTGTTTTGTTCGCTGGCAGGCGAGATGTGCCAAACACCCTGCAGACTTGAGACCGGGATTTCCGTCTTCGCCTGCGACTCGTAGTATGCAAGAGAGTTTTCATCATCTCCTGCCTCGTGTGCATTGCCATGTTTTGTTTGGCTGGTATGTTGTCGTGATGATAGATTCTCATTTTCAATCAAAATGTTCTCGTTGCAGTGAGGGCTTCTCGAAGACGAGCTTGAATCCGTGTCGTCAAGGTATATGACCGGGGCTCCTGACGGATCACCACCTCTTTGAGTGCGAGCGGGCTTCTCCAAATTCTGGATTTGGCTTTGAGGAGACTTAAGTTCTGGAATTTGCTCTTCTTCGCTGTCGTGTGATGTGGTGGTAGAAGTCTTTGATTTGGAATCTCCCTCAGATTCGGAGCCTGAGCTGCATGTTGATGATAGACTGCGCGATCTCGGGACGATGTACTCTTTGAGTCCATTGCTAACCTTTAATCGCTTGCGCCAGTGCCCTATCTCATCAGACAACTCCTCGGTTGGTACAGAGCGGGCGTCATCAGCTAGAATCTGCAACTCCTGGAAGGACGCAGTATCCTCAAACGTTCGATCTGTGTGAATCTTCCGAATGCGCGGGTGACGAAGTGCGTAGTACCTAGCACCGGATGGCTTATCAAACCCACTGCCAACTAGTTCCACGACAAAGGGCTTTTTGAAAAGCACGCAGGCCTTGGATGATTCCCTGCACCCGTACTCAATCGTAAATGTATGGCATTCTTCTGGATCACAGGCAGAAAACTCGCCATGTTGATTCAGAGATTGGAGGTTGTTTTTATGCATGGAATGCCGATGGAGAGCGTCAATGATTCGGAAATGGGGAGTTTCTCCAAGTTCCAGAACATTTTCCTTATTCAGCAGACATCCGACCAAAAAATGCGTCCATTTGAGTCGTTTCAGTGACGGGAGAGCGGCGGCATCTCTGGCTTCATAGTAAGCCCCAACTAATGCAACATCAAGTGTATCCCCAAGACCTTCGATATAATCTTTCTTCAACTTGATCCATCGTCCGAATGTGGCATTTGTACCAGCAGCGTATATAGGGAAATATGGTTCATCAGAAGCTTTAAGCACGTAACCCTCCCAACGTTGGGTATGGGCTTTAAGCATGTTTACTTCAAGTCGCTCTCGACCGTCGAGATGAGCAAAATCAAGTATTTCCTGGTGAGCGAGGTCGGCTCGACCTTCAATCGGGTTGACTACATCCTTTAGTAGCAACCTTCTTTGCCTATGAGGCTTTCTCAAGCAGATATCATCATCTAGGACCAATATATCAAAGAAAACGATCATCAAATGTTCATAAGGCTGGGGTCTGCTTCTATCAGTAAGCATCCACCCCCATAGTGAGAAGATTAAACGTACGGAGAGTCATTGTCAATACCAATCATGATACCCGAGCGAGAAAGAAACCTTCGAAGTTTGTGAAATTCCGCAATCTCCCCACGCTTGTCATTCCATATAACTAGTTCGCCCTCGAGGATACAGCGACGCGAAAACCTGCACTCCTCCGATCCGATCCGCAGTGATTCCGCTAGGCTGGGGAAAATCCCGGACCTGTCTTCGGTTGACTCTTTTCCACTCTTAGAGAAAATACGAAATGGCGTGCGTTTGTCTGTAAGATCCACATGTATCTGACAGTACTCTCCGTCATATTTCCGTTCAACACTCATTCGACGCCTGTTGGCCATACTCAGGCAATGTTTGATACCGCGGGCCTTAAAGTACTCGGGTCGGCCAATCTTGATACCCGTCCGCGGTTGGAGATACTCCAGAGCCGTTGCACATAGGCTGGCAGCCAGTTTTGGGTTCGGATGAGGTGGAAAATCTTTCATGGGCTGTTGGTCCAGCATTTCCAAGGCCCCTTCAAAAGTGGTTTGAAATTGGAGGAGATGTGGTAGCAAAAAATGGAATCGTTCCAAGGCATGCTTGGGCGGGATGATGACTGGAGCGTAGCTTTTCAGAATCATTCGAGTGAGCCACTTAGCATCCCGGCTACTCAAACGGCGGTATAAAGGGGAGAGAGTACTCTCGACGTCGACAGCTGTCTGCTGGCGACGTACTTCGGGGCCCGAGAACCGACACCGTGATGCGATCATCCCCAGGGCCATGTCAATCTCCTCAGTGGTAACTTCTCGACCTGGGGGTATATAATTCTCTGTTTGACGCATCACAATCTCGACACATCTCCCAAGATCTGGACCCCCTGGCTTTCGCCATTGGCCCAATTCTGCTAGCCGTGAGGTCCCTAAGGCCAAACAACGACCGATGACTCCGGATAAGGAGGTCTCTCGTAGCCAAAAAACACGGTCAGTGCGCTTTTCTGGGAACATACATGACAGCAAGGCTAGCCTGTCTGTGCCATCATCGTTGATGTGATGATCATAGCTTGCAAACCACCGTCGAACTGTCCGGAAGTCAGATAGGTCCGTTCCAGACGCTGCTTTGGCGATCCGGCCGTCCTCCAGATCCGACAGCAAGTCGCAGAGGAAGGTGAATTTGAATCCCATGGGCAACGACTGGAAGGTTACATCTTCACAAGCAGCTTCATTTTTACCTGACTCTCAATTTCAAATCAGACTCGGACTGACGCGAATTGGCAAAAAAACGCGACGGATGATCACCCGTGGATCACGAAAACACGTGACTCTAATTGATATATGCTAAAACCCTATACTTTGACGGGTTGGAGAGAATAAAAGCAGATTATAATGATATTTGTAGAGGTATTCCAGGTTCCAGTTACTTTGAGTATTCAGCCTACCATGACAATGTAAAAGCATGAAACCAACCCATCACATTCGCCAAACTCCGTAGCTTTTGAATAATGTTCATACACCGACCCCAGCCCCAATCCATTGGACCATTGACAAGAACCTTATCGACTAAAGGATGCCCTGCTTTTGAAGATCCAAGTAGATTCTCTCTGGCATGACGTTGCCCTCGGCGTCTTCCATCTGCACGACGTTGTCACGAGAATCCCGGTCCTTCTTGCGCTCCGCTTCAAGCTTCTCCCAGAGCGCCATAGCCTCAGAGATGCTAGTGATCTCTCGGAAGAGGTTGGTGTTGGATGTGATGCCCAAGCAGTTCAAGCCGTGGATGTGTAGGCTTCCAGAGAAATGCTTGTCAAATTCCCGGCGACCTTTGTAAACGTAATTTCCGCAAATCTCACACGCGTATTCGACTCCAAGACCATGCAGCTTGTAAAGCCAGAAGGGAATGGGCTTGCCGTCCCACCCTAGCGGCAACTTCAAGGGGTTGTAGATTTGACCGTCCTCATCGTCGTCAGATTGGTCGCCGCCATTGCCGTCGCCAACGTTTTCAGGCTCAGCCAACAAGGTCTCTCGTTCCATTTGGCGCTCCCGCTCCGTCATGCCTTGTCTGCGCTCCACATTGATCCGGGTAGCCTGTCGCTCAGACTGAAGCTCCTTAGTGAGGCACCGCACACGATGC